GGTTAGTGGGGGTTAGTGGGTCTAGTGGTTTGGCTTAATTTTTAGTGCATAGGTGGTCTTTTGAGCGTGTTGGCGATCTGTGTCGCTAAACTGCTTTGCGCTGTTGCGCTGCTGCGCTGCTCGCTGCTGCGCTGATGACTTTGCGCCGCTCTGCTGTTGCGCTGCTGCGCTGCTTTTCTGCTGCACCGCTGCGCTGTTGCGCCGCTGAAGCCGCCTCCGTTGACGTGCGCCGCTGCGCCTTTGAGCTGCTGCGCCGTTCCGCTGTTGCGCCGTTGCGTCGCTGCACCGCTGCGCCGTTGCGCCGCTGAGCCGCTGCGCCGTCGCGCCGCTGCGCCGTTCGCGGTTGCGCTCTTGCGCCGTCGCGCTGCTGCACCGCTGCGCCGTTGCGCCGTTGCGCTGTTGCGCCGCTGCGCCGTTGCGCCGCTGCGCCGTTGCGCCGCTGCGCTGTTGCGCCGCTGCGCTGTTGCGCCGTTGCGCGTTTGCACCGCTGCGCTGTTACGCCATTGCGCGGCTGCGCCGCTGCACCGCTGCGCCGTTGCGCCGTTTTGTTGCGCCATTGCGCTGTTACGCTGTCGCGCCTTGGCGCATTTGCGCCATTGCGCTGTTACGCCGTTGCGCTGTTGCGCCGCTGCACTGCTGCGCTCTGCCGTTGCGCTGCCGCGACGTTCTGCTGTTGCACCACTGCGCTGTTGCGCTGCCGCGCCGTTGCGCCGTTCCGATGTTGCGATTATCCTACCATATCCTGCCGCATGCTGTCCAATCCTGTCTTATCCTACCTTCTCCCATCTTCTCCTATCGTATCCTATCTTCTTCCATGTGTCTATCTATCTATCTACATAGCTATCTATCGAGATATCATATCTGTCCTATCTTTCCTGTGTCCTTTTTGTCTTGTCGTATCAAGCCTATCTATGTTGTCCATATTACCTATCTGGTCTATCTGTTGTGTCTTATCTGCCTTGTCTATCATATCGATCATATCTATACTACCTGCCTTATCTACCTTACCTACCAAATCTTATCTTATTATACATTATCCTGTCTTATCCTGTCTTTCCTATCGTATCCTGTATTGTCCTATCTTATCCTATATTATCCTGTAGTATCCTATCTTGTCCTATATATCCCATGTTGGCCTATCTTGCCGTGTCTTATCCTATCTTAGCCTATCGTATCCTTTGTATAAATCGAATTATCTATAATACATCTATCTATACATCTATGTATCAGTCAATCCTGTCTTGCCCCATCTTATCCTATCTTACCCTATCTTACCCGACCTTATCCTATCTCATCCTACCTTACCCAAAATAATCCTATATTATCCTATCTTACCCCGTCTTCTCCTCTCTTATTCTATCTTATCCCATGTTATCCTGTCTTATCATGTCGTATTCTGCATGTCCCTATCTTAACCTATCTCATCCTATGTGCCTATCTATCAATCTACCAGCCTACCCAGCTATCCTATCTATCCTATCGTTCCTATCTATCTCATCGTATATGTAAGTCTTATCTCTCTTATCTATCATGTCATATCTACCTTATCGACATTACCTACCTTGTCTTGTCTTCTCATATGTTACCTGTCTTACCCTATCTTAAGTTGTCTTTCCTGCTTTGTCCTATCTTATCCCATCGCAGCCCTCGCATCCTATCTTACTCCATATTATCCTACCTTATCCTGCCTTACCCTATCTTGACATATCTTACCTTATCTTACCCCATCTTTTCCTATGTATCTATCAATCTATCTACCTATCTATCCTGTCTCCCCTGTATGTCCCATCTTTCCTATCTATCTCATCGCATGTAGCTTGGCTTTCTCGGTCTTCTAGGTTCCCTCTGTTTTCACGGCTTTCTCGGTTTTATCGGTTTTCTCTGTTTTCCAGTTTTCTTGGTTTTCTCGGTTTTCCGGCTTTCTCGCGCAAATCCGGTTAGCTCCGTGTCGCTCAAAACGATTGCTTAGCAAGCTTGGCTGCCATCAGGTTTTCGCCTTCAAGCAAAGGAGGCAACCTACCTTTCTTTAAAGTGAGGTTTGCCCTCATAAACATGACATTTAGGCTCATGCTATCTGAAGTACTCGGGAGTCAGTTAGCGATCGGGAACTCAGCTCTTAAAACGACCAAACTCGCTCTAGGAGAAACGGCCAATCGAGCGAAGCAACGGAGCAACGGAGCGGGGCAACGCAGCGCAGAAACGGAGCAACAGAGCGAGGCAGATCCGCGCAACAACGGGCCAACGGAGCAGAGCAACGGAGCAACGGAGCAGAACAGCTTTGCGGAACAGCGGGGGAACGGAGCGGAGCAACGGAGCAACGGAGGAGCAACGGAGCAACGGAGCAACGGAGCAACGGAGCAACGGAGCAACGGAGCGGAGCAACGGAGCAACGGAGCGAAACAGCTTTGCGCCACCACGGGGGAACGGAGCAGAGCAACGGAGCAACAGAGCGGAGCAACGGAGCGGAGCAACGGAGCAACGGAGCGAAACAGCTTTGCGGAACAACGGGGGAACGGAGCGGAGCAACGGAGCAACGGAGCGAAACAGGTTTGCACGACACGTTTTGCCAACGCTCTGGGTCTTTTGGTTAAAAATAGATAGGTTCCCATGGGAAATGGAACAAAGCCCATCTAGACCAGTGCCATCTATCTTTAACCAAACTAACCTAAAAAGGACGCCTATGTTTTGGTGGGTTTGACCCCCTTGATATTCACCCGAAAGTTAAGGTCTAAAGATCCAACCCAATAGCAGTCAACCTTTCGGTGAGGTGTTTGGTGGTCGGGGTTTGTTCTCTTCGGCTAGAAAGCCTAGGAATCGGCTACAAGAAAGGCTACAAGGGGATTGACCATTCGGTTCTTTTGGCTAGAAAGACTTAAACCTAGGAATCGGTCCTCCCTTTGGGGGAATGAATCAGCCCTGGGTTTAAGTATACCCTGCTGGGGTTCTCAAAAAGTGGAACCCTGGGGGTGGTTGTTCAGGGAAAGGGGCGCTACTCGAGAGAGAAGGGGCCGAAAGCTGGCCAAAGCTGCCTAGACAAGTCCTCTACCCCATGTTCGTGCAGGAGGGAAATGGCAATCAGAAGCAATGCAAGATGTAACGGCAGGTGGGAAACCAGTCCAGCCCAGAGCAAGGAACGTCGAAGTCGCAAGCGACGTCAGGCCCCCTTTGGTGCCCACAATCTTGTAACGCAAAATGCAAACCGGCATAAAACAAGCATCTCTAGAGGTCGAAACCCTGCCTCCCCTCCAAGTTTCATGTAAGGCAGTGGGATTTGCAAATGCCGAAGATGAAGCCTTTCAACAAACACCCAACTTGGTTGCTGCAACGACCCCTCTGCAACAAGTTCTTCACATTTTGCGGGTCCAGTTCGGAAAATGCAACCTGCTTCAACCAACAAGTTAAAGTGCAAAGCTGCAACCAAATAGCCATAAAGCAAAAAACACATTTTCAACAGTTGTTGGATGTTCTTGGCATTGGTTGATGCTTGTAGGTAGAAGCCATAAGCCCGGCGAATGCCATGCTGAGGCAACCTGGAAACAGCAGACACTGGAAGTTGCCCCATGCGGAGCATACCTGGGTACAATAAGCCACTTTTGCGCTGCTGGCAATTTGTTCGGAGCGACTTGAAGAAATGGATCTTGTCATCCCCAGAGTGCAATTATGACGCCTGTCTCAGACAATTAATGATCGCTACTACCACCCAAAATGGGAGCAAGATTCCACTTCCACTTGCCAAAGTTCCAAACATCCAGCAGCCACGCAAAACAAGAAAGAAAAAGAAGCATGACTTGAAAGGGAGACCCCCCAAGGAAAAGTACGAAAAGGGAGCAACAAATAGGCGGTCTCTTCGGCCAGGCATGCCGATGCACAAATCAAGGACTCGCCCCTCTCGAGCGACACGAAAACCCCCCTCCTAAGCGCCGTGTCCGCTCTGGCTTCGCGGGTGGGGACGCCCAAGATGCGCAAGTGACCCCGGCAAAAGCGCCCAGTGCGCCGAAGGCAGTCGGGGCAGCCATGATGCGGGGCTTTCTTCTGGCCAAAGCTTTGGGCCAAAAGCGGCTGGACGAAGACAACCTCCCTGCTAGCAATTAACCCCGTACCTTCAAAAGGAAAATTGTCCAAACCAGGACCATTTAAAACGTCAGGTTCCATGTTAATTGGTGGGAGGGTAATGCCCTAGGAAAAAAAAGAGTGCTGTTCAGTTCGGGCTGGGGCTGTCTCTGGCCATGGATCTGATCTTTGGCAAGAACGTTGGCCTGGGTCGGGTCTAGGGCTTGAATCTAGCTGCCCGTCATGCCCTTCAACATGTCACAATGTCAAAGCCTGGCCTAGATGAGGCGCCAACACCCCTTGACCCATCTATGTGATATCACTGGTTTTGCCACAGCCCTGCGGCTCATATTCCGTGTGGCTTTGGCTTTCCAACATATCACCCCAATGGCCTTCATTGCCGGTCTCAAGGACCAAATCGCAAGAGTTTGCAATGGCGTGCGGGACGTCAGGCTGCGCAGGCTGCGACGGCCTGTTTAAATGATAACTGTTCGGTTGAACCAGATCGGTTTATTCCATGATTTTCCACAAGTGCAGCTTTTTGCGCAACGGAAAAAAAGGGGAAAAAACAAAAAACGAAAAACACAACAAACAGCCAAGGTTTCTAGCCAAGCTTGCATTCACGTGGATAAACACAAGCCGAATCATTCTTTTCGACACGGTCAAGCGAGTGTTTCGCGACCGGCATGACATGTGTTTTTTCTTTTCTATTAGGCTGAATGTTTGCTCATCAACATATCATGGTTGTTGTTGGCAAACATTTTACTCATTTGCTTATTGTGGTTTAGTGGTTGAAATCCCAACTTATCTGCTGAAATTCATTTTGTTCCTCCCCTTCCAACGTCAATCAAATCTAGGAGTTGGTCGGCTCCGAAGCGGCCAACTAAGCCGCCTCCCGTTGGTCCAGCCGCCCCCCCCCCCCCCCCCGACCCCAATGGTCACCCTCCGGCCTGCAGCTCCTCAGGTGGCCTGCTGGACATTTCCGCCGCGGGGAACGGCGCCTCCCCGTTGGGCGCCGGCTTCGCGGAGGCTGGCGCTTGAGCTGCCGATGCCCCGCATGGCCTACCCACTGAGGCCCTGTCAGTCTGAGCTGGCGGATTTTTGCCGACCACCACCCATGCCGAACCTGAGGAAGCCTTGGATGGCAATGCCGCCTTAGCTTTCGCCTTGGCCGGCGACTTGGGCTTCTCGGAACTTACCCTTTCAGCCGCCAGAGCCCTTGCGATTGCTGCCTTGGCTGCGTCGCCCACCCTGGCCTTCACCGCGCCCGGCTTCGCCGCCGCTTCCGCTTCGCCCGCCTGCGGCTCCGCTTCCGACGGCTGCTTCGCCGCCGGAAGCGCGGCTGCCGGGTTTGAAGCCTCGCCCGCTTTGGGCGCGGTGCCGTCGGCCGTCGGCACTTTCGGTACCCACTTCACCCTGGCGCAGGTGAACACTCAGTTGCTTTCTGCTCCCTTGGTAAACGTTTAACTTTTAGTGCTTTAACGCGAAACCCATTAGCTGGCAAAAAGTTAAAGTCCTAACGTCCAAGGCAAAATGCACCAAAAATAACAAAAGCTGTCCTCAGATCCCCTGCCAAAAGTTCGACTTTTCGTGGGCGAAATGGAAATCCCTTCTAAGCCTTACAACCCAAAAAGCCCAATGGCAAGCTCATCTATAACACGGAGAAGGTTGTCATCAATGAGGACATGGAGGAGAAAGACGCAAGCACTCGACGACAAGTCCTGATTTTTTTCCACCCATCAAGCTATCACCAAGACTTGCTGAAAGATGGATGGCATGACTTCCATTTTGAAACCAACAGGGGAAAATAACACATATTCGAAAGCACATGGAAGAAGAAGCCACATATAACGTCTCCATCGGCTGACAGGAAGCAAGTTCATACAACCCGCCTGGACGTTGCCGGAATGGGCCTCCTGGCACTCTAAGAAACAGGTTTTGTCCAAGAACAAACCCTGGCTGTCCTTTTTCAGATCCGCTGCTAACTTTTAGTTGCTTAAATGGACGCCCCCTACTAAACTCTAAAAACCAGATTCTTTTCAGCTCGATTCATTTTTTGGGTGCTATGATCCATTTTGAAAATAAGGGCAATTAGCCCTAAACTTACCCCTTAAAACCCCAAGCCTTGGGGAAGTTAATCTTTTACAGACATATAGCCCATGTTACCCAATAAGTTGAAAAGTTGTGCTTTTTAAGAGGTAAGTAAATCACCTCTTAAGCCATTTAAAGGGCACTTAGACCCTCAGGGTTGCCCAGCAGATCCCTCCTCAGTCCGGGCAAGCCGAGCCGCACGTGCATGCGAATGACGCTCACACGCGCGGGGGGGGGGGGGGGACGCTAAAAGCCCGAACGTGGCGTTTTGAGTGTCAAAGCGTGTCATGTGAGTGTCAGTGGGGGTGCGGATTCACTTGCCACTTACCCCTTGAAAAGGTTCCTTATGCTAGTGTCGGTCCCCCCTTCGTGAGTGTCATTCGCGTGTCGCTGCGGCTCGATTTGCCCAATCAAATGTGGCAGTTGTCACACTTCGACACGGGTAGCTGTTCAATTTCAACAGAATCCCAAGCCCTATCAAGCCAAAAAAGGGCACTTAGCAAACGAATCAAAGGGTCACTTAGGCCACCGACACGGCCTTCAGTGCCCTCGATTCAAAAACACGTCAAGTGCCCTTCATTGGAGGGCACTCACAATATGCGGAACTTTTAAAAAGACAGAACCAAACACAGATGGCTGGAAACCACCAAGAAACGATCGCAAGCGGGTCGTTTCTGGCGGCGAAACAGCGAAAACAACCATCTCGAAACCCCCGAGGTTTCAATCCTCGTGCTTTCGGCAGGCTGCGTCTGCGTCTGCGTTGCCCTCAGATGGACGCCCAACTTGTGGGAATTCAATGCGTTGGACGAATTGCAAATCATTTATGAAACAAGCAAATCTGATCAGACGAGTTACACAGCGTTTCTTGACCCCACATTCATCTGGTCGACTAATGTTTGTTTTTGTCCCAGTTGAGCAACAGATCCTTCACTGGTGAGGGACCACCCCCTGAATAATGCATGTGGTTTATGGACTCGGTGCAGCATGGGTGACAGCAGTCAAGTCTTCCATCTTGTCTGCAGTCCCTACAGGTCTAGGTATGAAATGGGTGGAGCTACTGCCGGCTTTGGGCAGCAGCCTAAGCAAACGCTTTGCTTAGAAAATTTCGGGAAACAAGCCCCACGGGTCATAGCTCCTTGTCCATTTGCCCCGTCTTAAAATCTCTGCGAATGGGTTCGAAAAGGGACACTCCAATGTGGATCCCTCCCTACACTTCAATTTTGTTGATGCGTTTTGATCTGTTCCTTGACTCGAGCGTCCATCGTGCCACCACCACTGGAGGAGGCGATTGCTCGTCTGGCCCGCCTGGCGCCATGCATCCAACCCCTACATCAAGTCGAGTTCCGCTCTTGACGGCAGGCAAGGACAGTTGGGTGACCCGGGGGGGGGGGTTTCTGTTTGGCTTGGGCAGTTGCTGAAAATCTCAAAGGGTAGCATTTGTTCCCTCTTCTAACAAATCAACGTTTTAACTTAGAGGAAATGCGCTTCGTGGACACTGGCCGTAGGAAAAGGCACAACTCTAACATGTGCTTCTTGTACCTGAGCGGCATGTGTATGTTACTTGTCTGCCTCTGTGTGTGTGTGTGTGTGTGGGTGACGCAGGCGGCATTGCTGGTATTTTCCACGTTGCTCTTCTGTATGTTTGTTTGTGCACCCTTGGTGCGAACAAAGAGGTGTACTCTCCAAACAGGAAGCAATAGGGTCAGGACGGCGCCGGCGCCGGCGCCTTTCAAAGCTTCCAGCGCCTGGGAAACCGCCTGCCGCGCCCACATCTTGGCGGGGGCGTTCTCCTGAAAATTTGCGAAGCCAAAGGCAGGGATCGCGTTCCGAAGCCGAATGAGTTGGGGCCTCATCTAAGCAGGCGATTTGGGACACAGGCGCACGCGACGTCTCACAGGAGCATGTGATTGCTCAAGGTACTGCGCCGGCCACCAGCTCCAAAACTGCGCTCTTGCAGGTCGCCTCACAAGCAGTCGCGTGCTAATGTGGCGCGCGGGCGGAGGCGCCGGAGCACGCAGCCGTCCAGGTCTCACAGGAGCAAGTGATCGCTCAACATAGCGCGCGTGAAAAACCGCACAGGAGCACGCGATCGCTCAAAATCGCTAAAACAGCGCGCCAGCTCCAAAGCCCTGGGAAAGGGACAGGTAAGCACACCCGCCCAAGTGCACCCACTCAGAACGCCAAATGGTAAGCACACTCGCTCACCTGCGCGCGTTCAGCACTGCATCCGTGCATGCCAAATGCTAAGCACACCCGCTCACGTGTGCCGCTCCTGCAAGGCCGTGACCAATGGCTGGGCTGCTCTTGGACTCTAAGCCCTGAGGCACAACCGCAGCTGATGTACCCTTCCCTCCCGATTTTTGCGTGCAGATAGTCTGGAAGATCAACTGCCTCTTGAAGGGAGCGGGTCCCTGTCAGGTGCCACAGTGAGCGTATCTTCCTTCTACAAGGTCGGCTTGGATGAGTCGGCACGAAAGGGCGTGGGACCCTCTCCCCCTTCTTCCGTAGACATCGTGGGAGAAAAACAAGTTTTTCTGAGATTTTCCCAAGGATTCCCGTCCGACCACCTCAAAAATCACTTACAACGGGGCTTCCCTTGGTCAGCAAATGGAAAGAAACCACACACCCAAGTTCTCATGGTCGCCAAAGCAACCTTCACCTCGCAAGGGCCATCCTTTGATCGAATAACTAGGGGAGGCCTTCGCCCAAACCAGCAAAACATATCCTCAACAAACAAGTGCCCAAAGCAAGACCTTCTTGAACAAGCTACTAAGCTCCTTCAGTGTTGGCTCGCGGCACAAGCTGACGGTAAAATTAAGAATGGAAATGGAGTCCCTCGGTTTGGTCTCCAACAGCCAAGAAACGCCTTTTGCACGTTGGTCCGTTGCGCAAATCGCCTGCCTCGGCAAGTGGCCCCGGATGGTGGGAAAAAACGCACTTCAAAACAGACCATCACCCCCCGCCTTCCACCCCCACACACACCCCCTCCCTCGAAAGGGGACTTCAATCGAGAACAAAGGGAAACGTTTGGAGGGCTTTGGGGCAACTTCCGAATGGGCGATTCCTGAGACTGCTCACACCACATGTAGAGCCTTCCCCGAGCTACAAATTCGGGCCGTACGTGACCCGCTTGCAATGCGGCTCTTGCGGGCAACGCTTGGCCATACGTGGCCCTTTGGAGGTGCCGAAGCAAATGAGATGTTTTGTCTGGGAGGTACAGCGGTACAGCGGCAAACTCTACACAGATCGTTCTCAACCCAAATCAAACATTCTGAGGCACACAGGCCTCCACCAGTTTAGGCAACATTAGGCAATCATGGGCTTGACCATTTGCAAAGGCGATGGTTTTTCCCCAATAGCTGCAAGCTGTGGGGTCTCAGCCCAGATAGGCTGGTCCGGGGTAAGGTTCCACGAGGGTTCCACCAGGGTTCCGCGAGGGAATAAGAGCACGGGGATATCATTTGGGCTTATTTTAATTCAAAATTCCCCGTCCAACTCGATTTGCAGTCTCACCCTTCGCTTCAAACTCCATTTCCAGTCTCACCCTTCGCTTCACACATGGTGCCGGGTTTCACCATGGACCAGCAACAATGCCAGGCCTTTACATTACTTGCGGAATCCCCAGCGATTTTGATTCCCACCAAAGGGCCCCCTACTTCCATTTGCTTAACTCTACTGGAAAAAATAAAAGTAAAAATGAAAATCATAACAATAATAACAACATTTCCAATAGTTCCAGATTCCCTTCAAAACCCGCAGGGGCCGCCCAAAAAATCTTTTCATTTCAGCTGGACGCCTAATACCAACTGAGACCCGGGTCCTTGGGCGTGCCCGGATAGGCTGACTCGTGAAGTAAATACCTCGGAACGGTCGAGGCTCAGCAAATCGGTGCGATGGCAGCTGGCCGTGGGTCAAAATCCAAATCGTACCCCCAGTGAACATCCCAATCCCCACTAAAGTAGACTAAAATTGGTTGGTGCACCTACCCCAACATGGTGCCATTGGTTTTGACCCACAGCCATCTGAGTCTGGTACTGCTTGGTTGCTGTCCGAGCTGTTTCCACAACAACGTTAAAGTCCAAAGATCCACGAAATAGCAATGAAGACTCAATCGTACAGTTCCTCAAGCTTGGTCATTCAAGCCAGGCCTGCATTTCCCCGCCCCCAATTCCATGTCTGCGGGGCCTACGCGCCGGCATGTGCCGGCATGCGCGGACGCGTGCCTCGTGAAAAGACAGCAAAGCACAACGTGACGCTTGCAAGTAACGAAGCAAGCCATGCCGCACACACACACACACACATACACATCTATATATGTATACACACGCATACATACACATTGAAGCACATACCATACGGTATGGTAAGCACACCTTGGTATGTTTTGCAGTGGCACAGGCATCATCAACAGGCAGTAAAGGGCTACAGCCTCTGGCTGAAACATCGTCTTCTGCCAACCAGTAAGCCACCTAGAGTAGTAATTAAGGGTCTTGTTTGCCTGGAAGCGGGGGGGGGGGTTGTGGGGTACGTAACCACACTTGGTCATGATGATAAGGATAAACAACGAGTATGTTGTTTTGGCTCCTATGATCTATAGGCCATGCTGCCTTGCCGCTCACGTGCAAACTAAGCTGGGAAAGAAGAAAATGGAGCCAGACTTCGCGTGTATATGGTGCCCTAGCCAATTGACTCATGGCAAGCAAGGTCTATGCTCCCCCAATCCAAGTCTTCCATTTTGGGTCCTGGTGGGAACTTCCGAGCCTCTGTCGAGCCACTGAGCCTAGTCGGAGCCACCCACCAAAAGAGTAGAACACCTCCTGGAGGGTTTGGGGCGCTCATGTGTTTCTTTTTTTCTCTTTTAGTCGGCCTTGTGCGACCGCTTCCTTGCTTTCCGAGATGCAACAGCACCTGCGGCGTCACCTGGCCACCCCACATCCGAGTGGGCCCTTTGTTACCCTCTCCGAAAACGAAGGTAGGGGCGAAAGAACTACGCAACAGTCTTCCCTTATGATCATGACTTCTGCTTTAGCCCCAGCAGCCCACTCGAATCATTACGGCATTTTTCTTCCCTGGCGACAAAAATGGAATGCACCCAATCCCTTCAAGACACAATGTCCTGTTGCTCAGAGGCCTGGCTGTGCCAAGATTCAAGTACTTATCATGCCAGACATGGGATTTCGGTGAGTCACTTCCATTTCCCGCTGGCAAACGTGGACCGAGTCTGACGTGAGGCTTTTTTCGGGGCTCGGTGACCCGGGCCTCCGCAGACGTCGCCCAGTCTGGGCTCTTGTCGCGGCTCCATTCTTGCTCCAGCCGGGTCTTAGTGAGCCGCAAGTGGCATGGCCAGCGAAAGCTGCTGGGTCCGAGAGGTTAGAGTAAACAGGGATCCGGATGCATTATACACCTGAACATTGCCTTGTAAATGGTGGTTTCCTTTTATGTTGGTGGAAAAAGCCATGCTTGAAATGGGCAAAATGTATCTTTTAAGGAGCCCTGGAAAAGGTACCTGTTTTCTTGTAGTCTATGAACCCTCCCCCAAAAAAAGGGGTGAAAGGGCACCTAGCTGAAAAACCTAGGAAAGCTGGGATGTCCAGAACCAAAGGGCCTCTTTCAGCTTCCTATTTTCCTAGGGGAACAAGGCAAGACTCCTCAAAACGTGGTGAGTGCAAACCATCGCGCCAAACCTTACTCGTTGTTCTTTGGTTGCCCTCAAACTGCTCTGACTGAAAGGGTATGCACGAACACAACCATCACACAGCCAAGCCAGCATCTAAACGCAATACTACAATTTGCAAGGGAATGCTTAATCAACTGTCATCGTGGGTGAGTTTGTTGTAATTTATCTGTCCAAAGGTCCAGAAACATGTTGGTCTGACCCTTTTTGTCATTTCCACACTCCGAATCCAAGGTGACATTCCACATCCACAACATTCCAAATCCTTCCTTGTCTCCACAGTCGCCCGCGCGTGCAGTCCAAAGCGAAGACTCCAATGCATGGAATGTTGACCGCCCATCAAATGCAATTCCCGATCCTTGATGTCACAACCGTCGAATAGATTCAACTGCAGCTTCCGTGTTGAAATGCAGATTGAACCGTGAACCTGCAGAGGCGCCAAAACTGCAGCTTGCAACAAGCTGTAAACCACCCCCCAAAACACCAAAACAACCAAAAACAACCAAAAACAACCAAAAACAACCAAAACAACCAAAAACACCAAGCCTCAAAACAACCCAAAACACCTCGCCATGTGAAAGGTTTCTCCAAATTCTCTGGGCTCCCTTGGCATAAGCATCCAATTGCTGAAGCCCCCGGGAGAAAACTGAATCTTTTTTCCAGTCGTGACATCGAGTCCCTTCAAAATCAACGGGAAAAACAAACTCACTTACCCAAAGGACCTAGAAATCACAGGTTAACCTTTTTGGGCCATGAAAAAAAACTGGACCAAACTGGGAAAACCAGTTTGGTCAAAAGGTTGGCTTTGGACAACTGAGCAAACAAATATTCATGTCAGCAAATGGAAGAACATATGTCCAGTACGTAGTGAAATGGAAAACAAACAACTACTCATTTCAGCAAATGGCTGTGAGTCAAAATAGGTACCCAAAATGGAACCCGGGTAAATGGAAACATGGACTAAAACCTGCGGCCCCCTGGTGGTTTCATTTTGACCCATCCCCAAATGGAAGTAACTTGGTTGACGCTGGAAGGGGAGCAACAACTTAAATTTTAGCAGGTAAGTGGTTGGACTTCAAGTACTAAACCACAAAAGCAAAAAAAACGTAAAATGTTTTTTGGCCTGATTATTTTAATATGATCAAAGTCACTCCCAAAGTGGGAATCAACCCCATTTACTGGCTTTGATACCTGCCAGAAACCGTCCAAAATCATGACTCCCATCCGAGCCCTGGGCCAAGCTCATCACGCGTGCGGAAGGCCCGTCGAGCTTTGTAGCGCGGAGGGCGGTGAGGAGCGTATCAGGCGCAGTGACTTGGTTGTTCTCCAGGCCTTGGCCGAATCCGCGGAAGCCAAAAACCGGACACCCCAGAAATGGTGGCGCTTTACTGCAGGTGGAATGTGGATTGTTAACGCCCAAACATATTCTAACTGCAACGAAACGTGACCCTAGCATGGTTTTCAAGCTCCAAAAAACGCTGGAGGTAGTGTCCAAACAGAGTGAGTGTACACAGCAATATAGTCAAAACCGAAACCAAAAGACACTTACAGATATGCTAGGCACATGCTACTGCTACTAATTGATGTTCAAAAGAATAATGTACGGTCCGCACCATATTTCAACTGGGATCAAACGTTGGTTCCCCAAACACAACATATGTGAAGTGGAACTCACCCCCTCTGAATTTAGAGGCCACTATTGTGGCGCAGCATATGCCTTTTGTCTCTGGACAGTAGAAGGGTGATCAATTTCGGCTCCGCCACTCCAGAAATGGTTTGGATGCACTCTCTACGAAATGAGGGTGTTTGGAGAAACTAATATCTACAAAATGGAGTATTGACAATACGAATTCAGTATTGGCAATAAAACAAATGTGCACACAGCACGGTAGTCCATACACAAAATCACATACATCTTACATATTCGCCAGGCCCATGCTAAGCAAGTTGATGTTCGATAAATAAATATACGGCCCAGGCCATATCCTAACTGCAATCAAACGTTGATTCCCGGGGATCCAGGTTGTTGGAACGAGTAAGCGTACTAAGTCCATATGTTGGCAATGCACGCAAGCCGGACTTGGGCGGAAATGATGGCCGGAGGCAAAACACCTATGGTGTACAATCAATCATGCTTTCATGCGTCTAGGCCAATGGCCGGACTAGTGCATGTGTTTTCCCCGTTAGCAAGCCCATTGCTAGGATAATCCAGGCTCAGGCTCGCGTGGCCGCCAAAGCACATTGAATCAGCCAACTTCTACTCCACCTACCCTAAGTCTTAAGCAGGACATGTGTTGCAGTCTTCCCAAAAACTGTCTTGACGTTCCCCACTAAGCGTGGAACAGCTACCCATCATTTGGGGCCTTGAAAGGAATACTTGGGGGGCCGAATACGGGAAGTCACCCAAAAAAAGATCTGACTAAACCCCCACACGGGAAAAGTTACCCCCATTGGGGACCGAAGGGAAAAAACATTTTTGGGCCGAAGGTGTCCTCAGATCCCCTGCTATCCTCGGTTGCGAACTCTGCTCCCCTGCTAAAAGTGAATAACTTTTAGTGGTTTAATACGGAAAACCCATTAGTTGGCAAAAAGTTAAAGCCCTAACAGCCATGGCAAAATGCACCAAAGTAACCATGAATCACTAGTGGGCTTCATGGAACTCAACCACTAAACCAACTAAAAGCCAGAAGCTAAGGAACCGGATGGCTGGGAGCCACGTGAAATGGAGATCTCCTGAACTCTGCCTACGTCCAGTTCGATCGATCTCGAAAATCTAAGGCTTCCGCGGAGCCAGCAGCCTGTCCTTGGATGACATGAGGGACATGGGTTTCTCGCCTCAACTCATTCTCTCGGTTGCGAACTCTGCTCCCCTGCTAAAAGTGAATAACTTTTAGTGGTTTAATGGACAACCCATTAGTTGGCAAAAAAATATGGTCCTTACTGGGAACCCTTACTTGGTTGCTGCAACGACCCCCCCCCCTGCAAAAAGGGAGCTTCACTTTTTGGGGGGTTTAGTGGTTTGACCCCCTTGAATTCAACAAAAAAATCGAAGCCTAAAGATCCAACCCAATAGCAGTCCAGAGTGAAGGAGGGGATTGATTTTTCCAACGGCTCCGAGAGTTCTCAGTTGAGTTTTATTTTTGTTATCTGAGTCGTTTCCAGGTGCTTTTTGTGCTTTTTTGGTTGCTCCTCTGAGTCCTCTCCTGTTTGAGACCATCTGGTCATAAGACAAGCGTGCCAAAAAAGTCCGCCTCGAGTCCAAAGAGTTTGCTTTTTCTAGGGTACCCTTTTTTTCTGTAGTCTATTTTGGTAGGGAACCCTTCCCCAAAAAAGAAACGGTAAAATGGCACCTGGCTGGGTCCCGGACACAGTCCATGCAACATCTCCTTTTGGAAATCCAAGCTTGACTTTTCACCGGGCCGCCAGTGGCCTCGGTTCTGGAAGGGGTACACCTCGGGCATGGAGCAAAAGGACAGCACCACCGTGGCGATGCCCAACTCGGTCATCCTGCGCTCGGCAAACATGCCAAAGGGTATCCAGGTCCTCCAGATTTGAGAGTTTAGAAGCGGGGTACCAACTGTTTTTCTGTAGTCTATTTTAGTAGGGGAACCCTCCCCCAAAAAAGGGTAAAAGGGCACTACTGGGGGACCTAGTGGAAATTACCAGCCGCACTGCACTTATTGTTGGGGCGCAGGGCTTCTTGCTTCCCCTTCTGACGGGGAGTTGCTGCAGAGAGGTTCATCAGATCCAAGCATTGATGCTCCTGTCTCCTGTCGGTTGGACACCCGCGCTTATGCCAAAGCCAACAAGCCAGGACCACAATTTCAACCCACACTCTCGTGCGTAAAGCTGCATCTCAGACTCTTCTATGCTGAGTGACCCGGAGAAAGAATTGAAACCTTGTTTCCTGTCGATGTAGAGGGTCTAGGGGGGCCAACAGAAGGGGAATTGAATGGACCCTCCGACTCAGCTTCCCCCGAATTCGTGGTTTGCATTGTGGCTAAGGGGCGGTTTCCCAGGAAGGCTACCTGGCCATGGGTCAAAATCCCGTCCCCCAGTGAGCATCCCAATCCCCACTAACATAGGTTTTTGACCCACGGCCACCTGACTGACCGAACCCATTAACCCTCTACAAGAGCCAGGGCTTCAAGTCACCCAGCAAGGTTTACCCGCTCTCCCACTAACATGGCACTTTGACAGGGGATCCATCCAAGAGGAAACTGGCCTTCCAATTGCCATCCCGCAGGTGCCGTGTTAGTGGGAGGCAGGGTACCTGACTGACTGAACCCACCAAGCAAAAGGGGAAAAGCAACCTGGGGTCCCGACCCGGTGCCGCTTAGGTGAAGCTCCATGAGCGGCCGCGGCTGGTGGCAAATCAGCTGTGCGATGGGCTTCGCGCCCTCGTCCCCCAGCCCTGGCCGCAGGCTTTTCGAATCACTGGACCTACCACTTTGTTGCTGTAACGACCCCTCTGCAAAAAGTTTAACTTTTTGGGGGCTTAGTGGAAAACCCCTTGAATTCCCAAAAAGGTTAAAGTAAAGATCCAACCCAATAGCAGTCAAGACCATGACCTCCTGGTGCCCCAGTCATCCAGTCGGCTGTCAAGTTGTCGTTTACACGTGGTTTGCAGCAAGACTTGCTTCACGGAACCCGTGCGGTGTGCGCGGCGTCACTGCGCATGCAGCAGTTTTTTTCTGCTTCTGAGGCCCCAGGCAATTGTCGTAGCAGCGCAAACTCCGCACGTGCGTTGGTGGGGTGGCCTGAACGTGCGAGCGCTTGCAACCGAAAATTAGAAACACCAAACAACGGCTGTCCAATTACACCTGGGCTGTCCTCAGATCCCCTGCTAAATGGTCATCCCACGAAACACTAAAAGGCTAAAATGCTAAGGAACCGGATTGCTGAGAGCCACCAAGACACCTCTTCGACATATGGCAGGCTCCCTTTCAGGTCAGCGTCTACCACAAAATCTTAGCACTGGCTCAAAGTTTTGTGTTGCCTATGCTCTTTTACCACCTTGTCAAGCTCATTGAACCTGCCGCTAGCGGAAGTCAAGGAAACCCCAAACAGCAAATCTTGGCCAGCGCGCCAAATCACATTCTCAGATTTATATCTAGCCCACAAAAACCCGCCCACTGGTGCACAAATCCCCTTGTAACTTCTTGAGCAATCCATCCCACCAGATGAAGAAAAAAACACCTGGTCACTGTGGCAAGTAACCCCAGCCCCCCAAAAGTTGACAAAACAAATCAGAGAAGACTCCAAAGCCATGTTCCGTCTGGCAATCGGAGCTGCTCCTCTCAAGCCCCGCCTGATGCAAGCGCCTCCTTGGTACCGATCAAACGAGTCACTTGGCCGTGGGCAAACCAACTGATGTCTGCCACAACCAAAAATGCAGGGCTGAACTGGATGCAGCGCACCTTCTGTATCGGTCAATGTCAAAAAACTAAATACATACACATACATAAGTACATATATATATATATATGTACATAGTGTATGACACACACACACACATGCATCTTCAATATGTACAACACACACACACACATAAATACAAATATGTGTACGTGATCAAGCTAACCTACATACCCCGGGACACACGCACACTCTCTTTGTCGGCTTTAGCCATCCGCGAAATTGGCACGGATGTTGAAACCAATCCACGCCGCAAAAGACTAATTCAAACTGAGGCTTCGACTCTGGCTACAACTTCGCGGCCGGCCAAAAGCCTGTCTTCCTTTGGGCCCTTGATAAGTTGTCCCACTTTTCTGGGCTGCCCACCAACAACAACAGCTGCAGCAGCTGCGGCAGCACCGCCAACAACGACCATAGCAGCAACAGGAAACCGCTAGCGACGCCAACTGGCTAGCCACTGTCAAGTCTGTCCGACGGTTTGTGTTCAGCTATTCCGCCAACAGCTATTCAGCATCACGAGGTGAGCCGGTCTTCACTTCTGCTTCGCTGCCCATAGCTCAGCTGCTTTCCGCAGGCAAGGTGCAAGAAACTCACCAGCAGTTCCATGGCGCCAGCATCAATGCCCATGCCGCTGACATCAACAGTAATGTAGCCTGAGCAGTTGACAGGGATGGCTCACCCTTGCTTTCAAACGCTGAACAGGTGCTGAGTCGAAGGCTCACAAGGTCATCCTCCTCTTGCTTAAGTCCCAAGGGAAGAATAAACAACATACCTCCAGTAGTGATAGATTCCATTGTCAACCTACGAGGGGCAATAAATAGCAACATCTTCTCAAGCACATGGAAGTCATATTGGATGCCGATTGAGTGCAATCCGAGGACCCGAGGGCTCGAGGACAGAAGGCTCTTCCAGCCTCCCGAAAGCTGCGGCTCTCAAACCAACGAGTTAAAGAAACCCCAGCTGCACTGGCGCAAGCCCCTGGCTGACAAAGCAGACAGGCAGGGTCGCCTTTTGGGTTGACCTGGTAACAATCAGCGGAAACTAAACCATCGAGGAAGCTTGCTGGATTGTGCTACAGCCAGCCAAGAGGAAAAAAACAACTCCCCTCCCCTCTCCCCTCCCCTCTCCCCTCCCCTCCCCTCTCCCCTCCCCTCTCCCCTCCCTCCCCTCCCTTCCCCTCTCCCCTCCCCTCCCTCTCCCTCCCCCTCCCTCTCCCCTCCCCTCCCTCCCCCCTCCTCCTCCACTCCCTCCCCTCCCCTCCTCCCTCCCCTCCCCTCCCTCCCCTCCCTCCTCCCCCCTCCCCCCTCCCCTCCCCACTCCTATCCTCCCCTCCCCTCCTCCACTCCTCCCCTCCCCTCTCCTCCCCTCCCCCACCCCACCCCTAACCTAATCACCCCCAGCTTCAGCCACGAAGCGGGCAGATGGCTTCTCTTCGGCCCAGCGTACCATTTCCTGAGGTGATCGCGCCGAACGGGAAAGAAAGCTGCGACAGGGAGCCCACTTTCCCTGACCGGAGCCAACTCTTGTTTCAGCCGGTGGTTTGGACTGGTGGTATGGATTTGGATTTGAACCCCTGGTTCTTGTAGAGGGTAAATGGGAAGCTGGTTGTTGGGGGTTGGTTTTTTTTCAAGCGGGGGACTTCCGAAAGAACCAGTGGACTGTCGCTTTGCCTGTCTCTGAAAGCAAGTCACTGTACACTGAACGTGGGGTGTTCTTGCAACGTCCAATGTGTCCATTGGCCTCGGGAATTGCAACATGCCTGCTTGGATATAGGCACCGTTCAGATCCCAAAATATAAAAGAACCAAGCGAGGTTTGTCTAAGCCGAGCGTTTCGTGGGGCCATGGCCCAATCGGTATGTGTGTTGACGCTACCCTTCGGGCTTGAAGGGAAAACGAGAAGGGACCCTTTCCGTTTTGGGCCCCAAAGCGTTTGAGCAACCAACATCCCCAAAATGCAATCTCCACAAGTACCCTCCCCCAGGCGATTCCATGGAAGCTCCCAGAACCACTTTGGAAGACTTGGCTCCAGAGGCCTTGTAGTTTGAGGGAGTGCGGTCAAGCTCGCAGGCAAAAGCCTCCCCCCTCCCATCGATTTGAGGACGTCATAGAATATCTGAGCACAGGCGTCCTTTTTGGGAAAATAGATGGCCCTTCCTTTTTTTTCCGCCGAATCAACCAAAGAGAACACCTGTGTAGCTGAGGCGTTTGCCAGTTCTGTTGTCAGCACCATGTTGCATACTGGTCTCCGAAGCCTCGCCAGGTTTCTGAAAATGAAAAATATCAATGACAAGCCTAGGTACGACCCCTTGAAAGACCAGCCCTCAGAATCCTGGCCTCTGGAAAGAAAGGCCATGGTTGCTGTAACTACCCCTCTGCAAAAAGTCTTCAACTTGCGGGTTCAAATCGCAAAATCCCACCTGTCTCAACCCCCCCAAAAATGCTCAAGTCCAAAGATCCGTTACCCAAAAAGCCAGACATAATTTCCCTTGCACCCCGTGGGCAGCATTTACACGAATATCTATTTCCAACGCTTTGAGTATGGGCCAAAATCGGGAGAAACATGTGCCGGTTTTGGAGGACCTCGATTGGGTCTGTCAGTAAAAAATGTGGGGAACCCGCAAACAAACGTGTGGTTTTCATGTTGGTTCCCTTTGAATCAAGCCCAAAAAATGGCATCCTCCAAAAACGCAAGCCCATTTCCCTCAGGGTTCGAAGTAGAGCTCGTCATCCAAGCTGTCGATCAGCTCTTCTTGCTTCCATCGCAGGTCCTGTGTGTTTGGGAAGGAATACGGCCAAGGAAGCATTCAATGGCTCAAGAATCAGAAAGCTCTCCGCGCTAAAGCTGCCAATTCAAATTGAGATCAGCTGGGTGCCCTTTCTGATTTCACGAACGCCAAATGCTGTTACTTGACATGTCTCACATGGGATGAATTTCTTTGCCTATGGTTAAATGGAAATCCAGCCACTAAGCCAACTAAAAAAGCTAAACAAAAAGAGCTAAGGAACCGGATGGCAGGGAGCCACCGAGTTTTGAGACACCAAATGCTTGGAGTGTTGCATGCCCCGCTGATTTAGAAGCAGACTCGTGCGGCACGACTCGGAGGTTTTTGGTTCTTGCCTCAAACGGGTTGCACTTTGCCCGTTTCAAACCACAACCAGAAAAGAGTGCCAACTCCCTTAAGGCAAAGATCCATCTTGACTTGCTTGCGCCAAGTATTGTTTGGACTATCACCTACTAGCCTTCACTTACCCATTTCCCCCTCCCCCCCACCAGCCACCAATCTTCACCAGCTCCAGCCACCAGCCTCCCACCAGCTCCACCAATCTCCAATTTCACCCTTCCAACAAAGACGTCTTTAAAAAAACAAGTAAAAACACCTGGCTGCTTTTGCCCCCCTCCCCCTGTTTTGGACATTTCCCGCAGGGGAAAAAAAAAGAAGAAAAAAACACGGAGCCACCGCCTCACACATTGCCGGCCCTCCGGCCATCCGATATCGGCCAAGGCGCAAGCACCAGCGAGTTGCCCTTGGGGACCAGCACGGGGAAGCTCCCGCGCTTGGCGCCTCGGCGCGATGAATTAGAAAACGGAAAAAAAAAAAAAAAAAAAAAAAACACGCGGAGCTGCCGGAAGCGGCTGGCCGGCCTCTCTCAACGTCTTGCATGTAAAATAAAACATGTTTTTGTAAAAGAAAAAACACACGAGTGAACAAACACAATTGTTGAAAATAACACATGTTTTTGAAAAAAAAAAAAAACGAAACACACGAGTGAACTTTATGTAACACCACAAAAAAGGTACTAGCTACTGAAAAAAATATGCGAATCGATGTACGTAGAGAGATTAACACAATTGAAGAACAAACACCCACACTGTAAAAACACATGTCACCATGTGTGTGTGTGTGTGTGTGTTTAAAAAACACGAAAACACAAGTGACATTTATGTATATATGTACATATAGATTGGCGATTGAACAACGAACGCCCACACAGAACAAAAAAGGACTGAAGGCTGAACAAACCACTCTGCTTGTACGCTCTTGTGTTATCTGGCCCCCTTTAGAATTGGAATTGGGAGAGGGGGTGTCCTGGAATTTCATGCTGGGTTCAATCGTCCCTTTTGTGTTCCCCTCCCCCTTGAGATGAGTGATTTCACTGCAGAGTGGCAGTTGCCTTGGCTGGCGTGTTTCGGGTCGCCCGCCAACCTCCACGGCCAGCAACCCTGGGTTGGTTCATCGGGGTTGGGGAAGTGGAAGCATCGCTGACGCGGACCGGGATGTTTTCTTGGGCGGGGCATGGGGATGCCTCGCAAACTTTCCTGGAGTTCGCAAAGTCGCACCTCTCAAGTCCGAGTTGCGTGAGCTGTCCCCCTGGCAGGCCGCGGGCGGGGGAATTGGACACGCGTCTTGAATCCAACCTCCTCCTGTGGTTTTTCAGGGTCCCTGGTTGCAAAATGGAGTCTAAGCTAATTAGTCTAAGTGTCCACGGGGGGCGATGGTCCAATTTTCCCTTAACCTTCACCACAGGGAAGTCGCTCCGTTGGGCCGGGCAGGACCTATTGCGCATGGATTTTCACCCAGGCCACTGGGAGTGCATTGAACCTCAGCAACTGATGGCTTCCGGTGCTTGGGACTGGTGGTCTCAACAAAAGCCAGGGGTTCAAATCTAAAATCTGAAGCCACCCATCCAAACCACCTAAGGGCTGCCTGAAGTAATATGGACCCCAAAAAACGTGGCAAGTCCCGGGGGCCAAAGTGGAATGCTCCGGCTAGTCGGCTCGCCTTGACCATCCGTGGTCGGAAGATGTCGGCCCAATGGGGAAAATTCGCGTTGGCCTCTTCTTTAGTCGCTGCCTCGATGGTCTTCTGTCGGCTTGTCTGCTTGAAGCCTCTCTCCCCTTCCACCCCCTCCGTTTGAGGTCCGGTGATGCGATGTGCGGCAAGTCATTGACAAGTAAGGCAAGCACGGCCCAGTCCAAAACCAAAACTGGGAAGCAACCCAATCGACTGGTAGCAGCTGAACAGAAGGATCAACGTGGAATGCAGCTGCTCCTAATTACAAGTGCCAAGCCTGTCCTGAAGGCAACGTCATGAAAAGGCAACTGCAAGCATCTTTTTCGCGAGAGGCATTAAAAGTCTGCGGTAGTCAAGCCATCCCAGCCTCGGCGAGTGCGCGGCTCTGCTCCAACACCATCAACATGCTTCGATTCAACCATGAACATGCAACAATCTCATCAACATGCACCGCGTTGCGCCGAACACAAGCCAGAACGCCAAGCATGTTTGCCGTGCCAGCGTGCAATGAGTTGGAGCTTCATGCCGAACCGTTACTTGTTGACCAGTCAAAGTCAGCAAGGAAGCAACCACATGTCGAACTGCTTCCCATCTGCAAAGAATGCGTTTGATTTTAGGGCAGACTCAGTTTACTGGAGACGCGTTTTGGGATTTGAATGGGGTCCGACACTATTGTCTACTATGTTATGAGACCTAAGCAGGACATGTTTTTCCCATGCGAAACGTCTCACCAATGCGCATGGCTGCGGCCACACATAGAGGGGCAGCTGCTTTTCTCAGGGTTACCGGGTTGTTTTTTTTCCTCCAGGAGGGCCAATAAGGAAAGTCGAAATGTCCAGGGGTGCCGGTCCGAATCTCGATAGAAGGACTCGGGTGAATCACCTCCAGCCACAAGGAGAATCACCAGCTCGGGGTACAAAACCCGAAGCAAGGGACACCCAAGCGAGATACCATCTTCTGAGGCCGCGATATTTGGCTTAATGGAAATCAGCGAGGGCTATCGGCAAAAAGAATGGGATCCCTTGCCCACAATCATGGCTCTCGGAATCCTTCTCAGAAGCCCTAACCTGGTTCTAATTATGCCCTAAGACCTTCTTCCGTCTTCTGGCCTCGGCTGTTGCCCCAGCAAATTTCTCTTTTTCGCCGCGAATCGCTTCGCTTGAGTCTCCGCGAGAGCCCCGGGGTCAGGACCACACAGGTGTCCTTCTGGGAAAAGTAGCTGGCACAAAACCCATCTAAACCAGTGGGAATCTATCTTTAGCCACACTAACCTAAAAGGTACATGGAATAAAAGCCATCTAAACCAGTGGGACCCTTCTATGTTTCGCCACGCTCACCGATCAAAGGGACACCCATGGCGGACTTTTCAGAAGCTGCGCTGCAGGAACTCCAGCACCGCCGGCTCTTTGGGCCGGAGCCGCCAGGTCCCGGCCGTCACCTCCCAGTCCTGCGGTGACGGGAGCGGACCGTTTTCACTTGGCGTGTGGGTCAAAAATACGGTCACCCCAGAATGGGTTGCCCTGGTAAATGGAAACAAAGACGATTTAACCTGCGGCCCAATTCCTGGTGGTGACTCATTTTGACCCATACCCACTTAATGTTAATGACCTAACCCGAAAGCTGCCGGAGCCGTTTTTCCCACTTGACCACGGGAGATCTGAAAAGGGTTTTTCCACACTAGGAGCTGCTTATTTTTATCAACCACAAGCAGTGGAAAAGGCAAACCATGGACTTTTTCATGCGGGGCTGGACGGCTCGTGGAATGTAGAAGTGCAAAAAAGGCCGTTTCCAAGAGGAACGTAGTCAGTCTACAGCGTGTGCACTTCCATGTTAGCTGGCGGGAGGGTACATTCAATTGGCCCATCGATCCTGTAAATGGAACCAAGCGGTCCATTTCAGAAGCCCGTTCGGGAGAAACCCATCGAATCGTCTGAGGGCAGTGAACATGGAACTGCATGTAATATAGAGTCGGCGGCCAGCCGTAGTTTGACGGCTCATCCACTCAATTCGCGCGGTCGTTTTTATTTCGGAAACTGAAAAATGACGGCAACACATCACCACTCTGCAATGGCAAACGCTCATTCACAAATGTCTGTGATTTTGCCGGAGGCACGCTACCGTGGACATGATATAATATATCACTCAACCCACTTTGCTGTACGTCCATCGCTGCTTAACCTTCATATGGCAATGGGTCACAAGCCCGTACCCCCAGTGAACATCCCAATCTGCGATTCCTTCGGTTGTGACATGTCAACTGTTGATCCACTGCTGCCACCATGGCCCTAGACAGAGGGGCCCCTTTGTCCGCTCGACACCGAGCCACGGTTGCGACCGCGCCAGTGGGCGCGTGGACATTCGATCTCAGCGCAAAGGTGCGCTTCGGCTGCTGCGAGCCTCCTTGACCCCCGGTCATTGCATTGGCAGCGGAGCACGGTTACACGATCCGGGAGTCCGAGGAACACCCGCACTTCGCCTTCGGCTCGTGCCCCGACCTTGAGGGTGGCAACCTGGTTTTGACTGAGGTGTAGATCTCCGTCGGGTACCGACGTTGAGGACCATCCTGGTCACACTGGACACCTCAAGGACCTCCTGCGTTACAACATCAAGATCTCCCCACACCTGAACTCCCTCTACGGCAACCTCCTGGAACACATCAATTACCAGGCCACGAGAACACCATCTACGGCAACCTCCAGTTCAACCTCAACATCAACACGATGTCAGACAAGGAAGGCCACATCCCACAATGGGATGGATCCGCACGGACATGGAGGCGGTATACTCGTGAAGTCGCCTGGTGGGTGATGAGCGTCCCCTTGGACAAGCGGCGCTACTGCGCGACCAAATTGGTGAGTCGATTGACGGGCCCAGCACGGCTCCTTGCCATGTCTTGGCCTCTACAACTGTTTGACTCACCAGATGGAACGCGAGATCTTCTCAGACGTCTGGCCGGCTCTCCTCTGGTCAGACAGAGCCTTCCCAACACGGCAGCCATCTGCGCCCAGTACTTCGCCTTCAAGCGGCTGCCCCAGGAGAGCATGAGTGCCTTCCTCATCCGCGAGACCCTCGGCTACGCGGAGTTCACCGAAGCCCTGGTTCGTCTGTTCGAGGAACGCAAGGGCATCAAGCAGGAGGACAAGGACTTCGGCATCCCCAGTGGTTCACCTGAGCCCTTTCTCCAAGAAGATGATCAAGATCAAGATGAGCATGAATCCGTTCCCGACGAAGCTACCACTCCACCAAGAACAAGGGCAACGGACGCCTCTCAGGACGGCAGCTCCCCTGATGCTGCACCTGGTGCTTCCCCTGGCAGATCTTCCAGACCTGGCAGCAAAGGCAAGGGCAAGGACATCCCTCATGCGCAACCTCAACTGGACATCACTCAGGTGGATGTCATTGACGAGATGTCCCTTGCCGACTCCTTCATCATGGGCGTCCTGCGTGGCTGGCGTCTTCTACAGGCTGCCAGCTTGACCAGTGAAGAAAAACGTGATATCCTCAGCACCACCCAAAACAGCATGAACTACGACTCCATCAGTCGAGCACTGCAAATGCTGTGGGATGATCAACTTCTTGGACAACGCCAACCTCACGCTGTACAGCATCATCTACATGTTCAAGAACAAGAACCTGGCCCTCGACCTGATCCATGGCACGATCACTATGCCAGTGTCCAGTGGTGGGATCAGGATTGGCACCAACACTGGACTGCCGAAGACCAGACTTCCTGGGACTGGGACAACGACTCCGAGTCGAAGGACACCAGTCCTGCCTCTCCCCATCTCGACCCGGCTGAGGAGTCAAAGCTCAAGGAAGCACATCAAGCTGAACAGCTTGCCGAACAAATGGCCCAAGAAGCAAGTCGTACCTGGGCTGAAGCCAAACGAGCCACGGCCGCCATACACCGTGACAGAGGCTTCGGCAAGGGCAACTCCGGGAAATGCTACAACTGTGGCGGCGCTCACTTCATCCGCCAATGTCCCGACCTTCGGCATGCACCACATCCCAAGGGATCCTCTGGCAAGAAGGGCAACTCTCAGTTCATGGTTGACCCTTACTACGACGACTTCTACCAGCACAAAGGCTCCAAGAAGGGCAAGTCCAAGGGCAAGAACACCTACTCCATGGACTATGATTACGACGCCATGTACTTCAAGGGCAAATCCAAGCACTCTGGATCTGGTAAGGGCTATGGCGCGACCCCTTCGCGAAGTTTTGTCAACTCCTACACGGCCGAGTTCTGCGGCCTGGACATGGACCTCCACGGTGGTGAATGTATGCCTGCCACCATGCCATCCACCAGCGGTGATTTTGAAGGCATGGTGGATTGTGGGGCCACAGCATCTGCTGGCCCAGAAGAGGCTGTCAAGGGCCTCATACAGTCCATTGTGGCACAGGACCACTGCACCGTTGTGGAGATTGATCAATCCGCTCGCCCGTATTTCCGGAATGGGAAGTGGGGTCAGGCTCTTTATCAGGTCACCCTCCGGAGTGATGTATCAGGTACGCCCAAACAGTTCAAGGTCTATGCCCTGCCCAATCCACCAGAGCTACATCAACCTGTATGGATCATCTGGGACCTCACGGGGCTGGTATGATGATTGATTTCTCCACCGGCATGACTCTCAACAGTTTGGAGAGTGACCCCAAGCCATATCCTTTGCGCCACAACCACAAGGGTCACTATGTGTTGGACATCAGACAGTTTCTCACCAACGGTCTCAGCAATGGTAAGGGCCACCCCAGGATCCATGTTCGTGGTGCCGGGCAACGCCGTATCCATGATTGTCAGGTTTTGGAATTCCACACGCTCCGTGTTCAACTGGATTCCCCAGAACATGATTGCCTGCACGTTGAACATGCACCACCTGACACCCGGACAGTTGCACTGATGATGCGGCTCCGTAGCGCATCTGCTCAGATGTTAGCTAACCAGGTTACCAGTGACACCCCAGTCTTTGGTACCACCTCCGAGTCCCATGGCCTACACGACCCCGGTTCCGACCGCGGACGATCTGGAGACCATGGACCTGCTGTCAAAGATCAAGGAGGCGGTCCCAAAGAAGAAGGGTGTCAAGGAATTCGACGAGACCCGCAGTGTCCCCCTGGATCCTCGGGACCCTCGAAGTCATCCGGACCAGTGGCCATGCTTCGCCCGACATCTGCCGGGCAGCTACGGAAGCAATGCTCATGGCAAGTGGAACCATTGCCAAATATGCAATCTGAGGCTGTCCTACATCCCTCGCAAGGGCAGCCCAGCCAACAGCACCCAAACTCACAATCCCGGCATGGTGGCGAGGATGCTGAAGGAGCTCCAGGACCTGATGGGCGACGTGCGCCCGACCTCGGAAATCTGCCTGGCCATGCAGGAGAAGATCAACGCCGAGGAAAAGCTGTTCCACAAGATCCAGATCGCAAAGTCCGTTTCGAAGAAAGCAGCATCCTCAACGGCAACTTCCGGGATGAACTCCAAGTCCAAGGAGCGCCCTGCCCAGAAGGCGGAGTCTTTTCACAGCTGGGAGAAGATGTCCACGACCTCCGAACCACCTCGCGAGGTGGAGCACAGGGCCACCACGATTCTGGCGGACCTGGATCAGCACCTCACCGAGGAGGAGAAACTCGAGCTCTTCAACACCCTGACCATGCGCAAGACCCAGCACTTCGGGGACAATCCCAACGCGGAACCGATGGCGTGAAGAAGCTCCCCAACTCTGTTGGTCTGCGACTTCTACAACTCATGAGCCTCATGACCACCAACCTCGCGAACGCCACGGCTTCCATGGTTCTCATGACCACCAACCTCTCGAACGCCACGGCTTCCATGGTTCTAGACGAACGGGATCTCCTGTGGGAGGTGGCCTGCTCCGACAACTCATGGCTCACCTCCGAAGTGCAAAATCATGGACTACCAGCACGCCGCATCAACTACAACGCAGGCTTTGACATCTACGACCCCCAGACGTGGGTACGCCTTCAAGACCTACGGCGACAACACAGACCCAAGCGCATTTGGTTCTCCTTCCCATGTACCAAGTGGTGCCAATTCACCAACTTGAACTACAACACCCCGGAACGTCGAGAAGTCCTTGAAACAGCCCGACGTCGAGAACGCAAAATGCTCAGGAACGCCAAGCAGTTCATTCTGCAGGCCCTCGACGAGGACCCGGACTTCGACATCTACTGGGAATGGACCCATCCCTGCGCTGGGTGGGAGCAGCAACCAGTGGTTGACCTTCGTGAAGGTCTACGAGCTCGTGGTCTGGACTGGCTTCCCTGCCGAGTTGACGGCTGTCGCTATGGCATGACCAACAAAGCCGGCACGGACCTCCTGAAGAAACGGTGGTTGATCCGTACCACCGATGAGCGCTTCCATCAGACCTTCCGCGCTCGGGTCTGCACCAACAACCACAACCATGCACGAATAGAAGGAGCCGAGACGAGCCGCTCCAGCTACTATCCACTGCGCCTCGTGCAAGCCATCGTCCGCGGATGGCTATCTGAACTTGCTCCACAACGGTACCTCAAGTACCTCTCGGCCTGTCAGAACCTGTCTGACAAGGACGTCAACTTGGATGACGACCACTGGAACTTCAAGCACTACCAGCACAACGGTATCACCTCCATAGACCCAACCTGGCCATCGCATGCATCCCTTACACCATCTCACGAACCTTGGGAGGCAACTCAATCCCTAGCTCTACCTCCTGGTCATGTTCGTGATGATCTCCATGCTGGAGAACTCCATGCAGATGGTCACCCAGCTAGTGAAGCAATTTTGTCTGTGCCATCAGATGTACCTCAAGATGGTCCAGAACACCGAGCTTGGTCTGCCAAGCTACACCACTTCCACAAGGCCGCTGGGCATCCCACCAACCGCAACCTTGTGCACCTACTTCGAGATGCTCGGCTACCCGAATGGAAGGTTCAAATGGCTCGCGACTTCAAGTGTGCTTCGTGTGATGCTCTTCGACCTGGCGGATCCTCTTCCGGAAGTATACCACCGGCATCCACGCATCCACTGTACCGCGCCTGGCAAGCTATTGGCGTCGACGTGACCGAGTGGGTGATACCCAATAGCAAGCTGAAGCTCAAATTCATGCTGATCATGGACCTGGCCACACGTCTCCGAGCTGTGCATGTCATCAAGTGCTACGATGTCCTCCAAATGCAGAGCGAAAGCTCAGCAGACATCATCAAAGGTCTAGCTGAACGGTGGCTGGCCGACAAACCACGGCCAGAAGTCGTCATCCCTGACAACGGCATCACCCTGGTCTCTCGGGACGTGAGCGACTTCCTGTCCGACATCGGTGTACAACTTGCACCTCCTGCGGAAAAGGAAAGCTGGGCACATGGCCAAGTTGAGTCCGCCATCAAGGACGTCAAGATGACAGCATCAGCCATTCAGCTTGGCTCTCCTTCTCAGGACCCGATCATCACCTTGCACCTGGCCATCGCCTCGCTCAACTCAACCGAGTACGTCAAAGGGTACTCATCCTTCCAGTGGTGCTACGGCAAGGACTACTCCATCACCGATGAGGACGTGAGAACCTTTGCCACACTTCCTGAGTCGCCCGACGACGACTACGCGCGTCTAGTCCAGCTGCGTCAGAGTGCTGAACAAGTAGCACGCAAAACCCGTGCCCTTCGTGTCCTCTCCAAGCTCAGCAACTCGACTGTGAGACAGCCCATCAGGACCTTCCATCCCATGCAACTCGTGATGGTATGGCGCAAGCAATGGCCATCCCACGTTTACGTTGGCAAGCGGGGCGGTGCTCGAAAATCCGGACGCCCGCACTGGATCGGTCCTGGCCGAGTGGTGTTTCACGAGATCCTTCCACATCAACAACCAAGTGACGCCCGAAGGCACATCGTCTGGGTGCTACTGCAGAACCAGCTCCTGCGCTGCTCTGTCCACTCCGTGAGACCTACCACGCCCCTGGAAGAAACCCAGTTCGAGATCAGTGCTAAGGAAGACGTCTCCCGGTGGCGTTCCCTCTCCGACATGCTGCCCAACAAGGAGTTCATCGATCTTGCCGACGATGAACCCGGAGTCGATGAACAAGAGCAGCCTGATCTGCCCGATCTCCCCAACAAGGAGACCATCGACATCCCCAAGAGGCGGATCCGTGTGAAGTCCGCACCATTTCTGGTTCCTCCACGTCCTGCTCATGTACCCTTCATGGCGGACGACCCGGACTACACTCCCGAGTCACTGGACAGCTCTATGGGACCATCCATGCCGGAGACCTCGACTGAACCTCAAGCCTTACCACCTGATCTACCTGGCACCTCAAGTCCAAGCGCTGATCCCGCAGCTGAAGATCCCAACAGCTATGAGCCAGACAACAAGAAGCAGCGTACCGACGGCTATGACCTGGGCTGGCTCGAGGAACTACACCAAGTTGAAGGTGATCTCCATCAGCTCCTCATCGACTCCCAGGAGGTGATGAAGATCGAGTTTGACGTTGACCTTAACTCCCACCGTAAGGAGAAGGACTTCCTCCGGGACGCCTCGGCCTTCATGGTCAAGAAGATGAGAGACAGCGAGGTTGTGCTCTCCCGTCTCTCTCCTGAACACAGAGAACTCTTCAGCAGAGCCAAGTCCAAGGAAGTCAGCAGCTTCATCAAATCTGAGGCTGTTCGCAAGGCTCTGGACAACAAGGAGGTCAGCGAGGCCTTCGACTCTGGCCGCATCATGCGAGCCAGATGGGTTCTCACCTGGAAACCAACACCTCCAGAAGATCTTCAAGAAGCTCAAGCCGAGGCGAAATCCAACGCCAAGTCCACCTACACCAAGGACGGTCAACGCAAGGCAAAAGCACGCATTGTGCTTCTCGGCTACGAACATCCGGACCTTCTTCGGCCTGAGTTCAAGACCTCTAGCCCTGTGCAGTCTGGGCTGGGAAGAAACCTCCTGTACACCATGGCCTGCACTCACGGCTGGGAACTTGAAGGTCTCGATTTGGCCACTGCCTTCTTGCAGACGCAGCCCACAGAGGCAGATCAAGATCTGTGGACTCGCGGTGTATCAGAGCTTCGTGAAGCCCTGGATGTTCCAGCAGACGGAGTCATGAAGATCCTCAAGAACATCTACGGCTCAACGACCGCACCAAGGGGACTCTGGCTGGACCTTCACCGGCGCCTAGCCTCCATTGGCGGCAAACCACTCATTGGTGAACGCTGCATCTGGATCTGGCAGTCAGCCACGGAGAAGGACGCCTTCGGCATCCCCCTGGTACTTGGCATCATGGGCGGCCACGTGGATGATTTCCATCGCTGTGGCAATCGCCTCTCGCCTGAGTGGGTTCAGGTCTGCTCCCAGATCGACAAGCTCTACGAGTGGGGCACTGCCAAACGTGGCAACTACCGGCACGCCGGAACCGACCTGACCTCCATCATCAACAAGGACGGCTCCGTGGAGGTAAAGATCAATCAGCAGTACTACATCGACTCCATCGCCGATGTGAACATTGATCCCGATCGCCTTCGTCAAGAGAATGCGGTCATGAATCCTGAGGAGGTAGCTGCCTGCCGCACTACCTGGGGCAGTCTTCAATGGCTGGCCTTGCAGACTCAGCCGCAGCTCTGTGCCAGGTGCAACCTACTTGCATCTGAAATCACGACCAAGCGCCTCATGCAATCGGCGCTGGAACTTCAACAGCTAGTCGGCGAGATTCGCAAGCACGCCTACCAGCTGCACTACAAGAAACCACCTGGAGTCGAGTCATGGCGAGACATGGTGTTTGTGACCTTCTGCGACCAAGCCCACGCGAACCGCAGCAAGATGGACTCCACCGGCGGCTTGATCTCAGTTGCTACTGGACCTCATGCAAGCGAGGGCAAGGTCACATACATGGCACCCCTGGCATGGCGAAGCTGGAAGCTGCGCCGCAAGGCCATATCCTCAAATGATGCTGAAGTCCAGGCAATCCTGGATGGCGAGGACCAGAACTTCCGCATCCGCGTGCTCTGGTGCGAAATGAATGGAGCCGGTCACGATCTCACCCCACACGAAGACAGGGTGGAATGGGCTGAACGCATGGCCCGCGGCATCAAAGGCATTCTGGCCACCGACAGCAAAGGCGGCTACGATGCGGTGATCTACAATGAGTCACCAATGCTTGGGTTGAGCAACGCAAGAGCCGCGCTTCAAGCTCTTCAACTTCGGGAGCATCTCACCCGAACCGGAGCTGAACTTCGTTGGGTGGCCAGCGACTATGATCTCGGCGACGCCTTGACCAAGAAGAAAGCTGAGTGTCGCCTGGGTCTCACCAAGTTTCTTCAAACAGGCCTGTGGAGTGTTGCATACGATAACACCTTCACTTCAGCTCGCAAGAGCCACGGCCAAGGGCGTTCTGCCATCAAGGACGTGACGGCACATCAGCAACGGGATCAGCAGTTGAGAAAGGTTTTTGGCCCATGCGATTCCTTCGGTTGTGACATGTCAACTGTTGATCCACTGCTGCCACCATGGCCCTAGACAGAGGGGCCCCTTTGTCCGCTCGACACCGAGCCACGGTTGCGACCGCGCCAGTGGGCGCGTGGACATTCGATCTCAGCGCAAAGGTGCGCTTCGGCTGCTGCGAGCCTCCTTGACCCCCGGTCATTGCACAATCCCCACAAAAATAGACTACAATGGGTGGTGCACTTATCCCAAAATGGTAGCATTGGTTTTGACCCACAGCCACACGGGGTATGGTCCTTTTGCCCTGCCTCCTCGCTTTCCTCCCAGCAGGCCGGGCACAAAGAAACCGGCGGCCAGCGGCGATCGGCGCGGCAGCCATGCTCGTTCAGAATTCGGACGGAGACGGCGTTGTGGAAGCGCCAAAGGTAAAGCACCAGCTCCTACTGGAAACTCCGCTTCCCCCGTTTGGTGGTGCTGCGAGTAGGGATTGGGTGAACGAAGGAACCCAGGTCCTGAATAAAAGAAGAAGTTGTTTGCAAAGGAACCATTCCAACTCATTCGCTGCTGACCACCAGCAAGTAGTTGGTGGTTTGGAGCCGAATCGGTGGTTTGGTGCTGGAGGATAGTTTCACCATTCACCCTCTACAAGAGCCAGGGGTTCAAATCCAAAGCAAACCGCCAATCCAAGCCAACAGCTGGGGCTTACCTGATGAAACTGGAAATAGGGAACCTCCCGCAAAACAACATGTTTTTTTCGTGGGCTTTCTTTGGAACCTTCCAAGTAGAAGGCCTTTTCAAGGCTCCCAGTAAGACAGGGAGCCACAGCTGTTTCAGATCTTTGTGTCTTGCAAGCGGCTGTGGCCGGCATGGTGTGCTTCAAGCCCCTGTCCTCAAACAATCCCTCAGACACTGATTTTGGAGAACACCAGCGGGGGGTTCAAGCAGGTTTTTTTTTGAAGGGGACCCCCCCCCCCCCAAAAAAAAAGAAAAGAAAACAAGAGGCTGGCTTTCTTTTGCTGTCCATTGTCCATTTGTTTCTAATCCACCAAAGACCCCAAACTCCCCGCCCCCCCAAAAAAAACAAAGCTGAGGCTGGTTTTCTTTTGCTGTCCATTTGTTTCCAATCCACCAAAGGCCCCCAAACCCCCCCCCAAAAAAAAAAACGAGAGGCTGGTTTTCTTTTGCTGTCCATTTGTTTCTAATCCACCAAAGACCCCCAACTCCCCGCCCCCCCAAAAAAAACAAAGCTGAGGCTGGTTTTCTTTTGCTGTCCATTTGTTTCCAATCCACCAAAGGCCCCCAAACCCCCTGCCAAAACAAAAAAACGAGAGGCTGGTTTTCTTTTGCTGTCCATTTGTTTCTAATCCACCAAAGGCCCCCAACTCCCCGCCCACCCAAAAAAACAAAGCTGAGGCTGGTTTTCTTTTGCTGTCCATTTGTTTCCAATCCACCAAAGGCCCCCAAACCCCCCGCCAAAACAAAAAAACGAGAGGCTGGTTTTCTTTTGCTGTCCATTTGTTTCTAATCCACCAAAGACCCCCAACTCCCCGCCCCCCCAAAAAAAACAAAGCTGAGGCTGGTGTTCTTTTGCTGTCCATTTGTTTCCAATCCAGCAAAGGCCCCCAAACCCCCCGCCAAAACAAAAAAACGAGAGGCTGGTATTCTTTTGCTGTCCATTTGTTTCTAATCCACCAAAGGCCCCCAACTCCCCGCCCCCCCAAAAAAAAACAAAGCTGAGGCTGGTTTTCTTTTGCTGTCCATTTGTTTCCAATCCACCAAAGGCCCCCAACCCCCCCGCCAAAACAAAAAAACGAGAGGCTGGTTTTCTGTTGCTGTCCATTTGTTTCCAATCCACCAAAGGCCCCCAAACCCCCCCCCCAAAAAAAAAAACGAGAGGCTGGTATTCTTTTGCTGTCCATTTGTTTCTAATCCACCAAAGGCCCCCAACTCCCCGCCCACCCAAAAAAACAAAGCTGAGGCTGGCTTTCTTTTGCTGTCCATTTGTTTCCAATCCACCAAAGGCCCCCAACCCCCCCGCCAAAACAAAAAAAACAAGAGGCTGGCTTTCTTTTGCTGTCCATTGTCCATTTGTTTCTAATCCACCAAAGACCCCCAACTCCCCGCCCCCCCCAAAAAAAACAAAGCTGAGGCTGGTGTTCTTTTGCTGTCCATTTGTTTCCAATCCACCAAAGGCCCCCAAACCCCCCGCCAAAACAAAAAAACGAGAGGCTGGTTTTCTTTTGCTGTCCATTTGTTTCTAATCCACCAAAGACCCCCAAACTCCCCGCCCCCCCAAAAAAAACAAAGCTGAGGCTGGTTTTCTTTTGCTGTCCATTTGTTTCCAATCCACCAAAGGCCCCCAAACCCCCCTGCCAAAACAAAAAAACGAGAGGCTGGTTTTCTTTTGCTGTCCATTTGTTTCTAATCCACCAAAGGCCCCCAACTCCCCGCCCACCCAAAAAAACAAAGCTGAGGCTGGTTTTCTTTTGCTGTCCATTTGTTTCCAATCCACCAAAGGCCCCCAAACCCCCCGCCAAAACAAAAAAACGAGAGGCTGGTTTTCTTTTGCTGTCCATTTGTTTCTAATCCACCAAAGACCCCCAACTCCCCGGCCCCCCCAAAAAAACCAAAGCTGAGGCTGGTGTTCTTTTGCTGTCCATTTGTTTCCAATCCACCAAAGGCCCCCAAACCCCCCGCCAAAACAAAAAAACGAGAGGCTGGTTTTCTTTTGCTGTCCATTTGTTTCTAATCCACCAAAGGCCCCCAACTCCCAAGGCCCCCAAACCCCCCGCCAAAACAAACTAGACGACGAGTGGCCCGGAAGCATAGAGGCAAGTTGATGCAGGTGAGGTAACTCTCGCAAAGTTAGCATGAGGAGTTGGCAGGCGAAGCAATTCTCAAAAAGTTGGCATGAGAAGCTGGCAGGTTAAGTAACTCTCGAATAGTTGGCTGGCAAAGTTGGCGGGTGAAGTAATTCTCGCAAAGTTGACATGAGAAGTTGGCAGGCGAAGTAACTCAAGAGAAAAGTTGGCATGAGAAGTTGGCAGGTGAAATAACTCTCAAAGAGTTGGCATGAGAAGTTGGCAGGTGAAGTAACTCTCGAAAAGTTGGCGTGAGAAGCTGGCAGGTGAAGTAATTCTCGAAAAGTTGGCACGAGAAGATGGCGCGTGAAGTAACTCTCGAAAAGTTGGCGTGAGAAGCCGGCAGGTGAAGTAACTTTCGAAAAGTTAGCATGAGAAGTTGGCAGGCGAAGTAATTCTCGAAAAGTTGGCGCGAGAAGTTGGCAGGCGAAGTAACTCTCGAAAAGTTGGCAGGCGATGTTGGCAGGTGAAGTACCTCTCGAAAAGTTGGCATGAGAAGCTGGCAGGTGAAGTAATTTTGCGAAAAGTTGCCACGAGAGGTTGGCAGATAAAGTATTTCTCGAAAAGTTGGCATGAGAAGTTGGCAGGTGAAGTAATTCTCGAAAAGTTGGCAGGTGAAGTTGCCACGAGAGGTTGGCAGGTAAAGTATTTCTCGAAAAGTTGGCATGAGAAGTTGGCAGGTAAAGTAATTCTCGAAAAGTTGGCATGAGAAGCTCGCAGGTGTAGTAACTCTCGAAAAGTTGGCATGATAAGCTCGCAGGTGAAGTAACTCCTCGAAAAGTTGGCACGAGAAGTTGGCAGGTGAAGTAACTCTCGAAAAGGTGGCATGAGAAGCTGGCAGGTGAAGTAATTCTCGAAGTTTCGGCATGAGAAACTGGCAGGTGAAGTAATTAACCCTCAAAAAGCTGGAGCGGCGGAGGCGCTCCGCGTGCTACATTTGCAATTTACAGTTGCGATGACACCTTCTACAGTACTAACACGGAGGACTGCCTTGAGCATGAATGCACGTGCAAGCAGCAATGACAAGCGACAGCAACCTCATGGAGCACCCCTCCAAAAAATGAAGCATAACACCAACCCAAAGAAGCCGTGTCGCCCTAATCAACTGTCGCCGCAAACATTCTCTGGGCAAGCTCCGCTACTGAGACACTCATGACATCCAAGCTTCGGCTACTATTGCTCTTGTCAGCTGCCTATCACTCCAAAATCCAACTGCGCATGTTTATTTTACAAGCCAATTACAAAAGCCAACTGCCCAATCTCACTTCACAAGCCAATGACAACTGCCAACTGCCCAATCTCACTTCACAAGCGAAATGCACTGTCCCAAAACACAAGCCAAATTTTCGAGTGTTACGTCACTATCCTAAAGCGCAAGCTAACTTCTCGGGCGTTTCTTCGGCATCGTAAAGCGCAAGTATTCGTTTTCAGGCGTTACATTGCAAGCCGACTTTTCCTTTTCTACCTTCTCTTCTCGATTCTGAGTTCTTTCTTCTTTTTCCGGCGGAGCTGGGGAGACGCTCTCCGCGCCGAGATAGGTCCGCAAGTGCTTTGTGCAAGTGCTCTGTGCAAGTTGCTCTGCGCAAGTTGCTCTGCGCAAGTTGCTCTGAGCAAGTGCTGCCGGAGCTGTGGGAATGTACTTCGCGTACTATTTTTTTGTACTTAAAAGTTGTGATTTTCCAGCCGGAGCTGCGGGAGTGTGCTCCGCGTACTACGTTTGTACTTAAAAGTTGCGATTTTCCAGCCGGAGCTGCGGGAATGTGCTCCGCGTACTATGTTTGTACTTAAAAGTTGCGATTTTCCAGCCGGAGCTGCGGGAGCACGCTCCGCATACTACGTCTGTACTTAAAAGTTGCGATTTGCCAGCCGGAGCTGCAGGAGCACGCTCCGCGTACTACGTCTGTACTTAAAAGTTGCGATTTGCCAGCCGGAGCTGCAGGAGCACGCTCCGCGTACTACGTTTGTACTTAAAAGCTGCGATTTTCAAGCCGGAGCTGCCGCGGACCAGGGGGGAATCGAACCCGAGACCGCGGGATTGCGAAAGCAGGCGCGCAAACCACGAGACAACTTCCAAAGGCCGTTTCGCGAGCAAGAAAATCGCACGGCGCCACAGCGAGAGCGCTTCGACACGCACGATCTCCGCAGAGGGTTCATCGGGCTCAAGACAGATGCGCACGGCGCCACAGCGAGAGCGATCCGACACGCACGATCTCCGCAGAGGGCTCGCCGCGACCAAGACAAATTCGCACGGCGCCACAGCGAGAGCGCTTCGACGCGCAGGATCTCCGCAGAGGGTTCGCCAAGGTCAAGACAAATTCGCACGGCGCCACAGCGAGAGCGCTTCGACACGCACGATCTCCGCAGAGGGTTCGCCGGTCAAGACAAATTCGCACGGCGCCACAGCGAGAGCGCTTCGACACGCACGATCTCCGCAGAGGGTTCGCCGGCTCAAGACAAATTCGCACGGCGCCACAGCGAGAGCGCTTCGACACGCACGATCTCCGCAGAGGGTTCGCCAAGGTCAAGACAAATTCGCACGGCGCCACAGCGAGAGCGCTTCGACACGCACGATCTCCGCAGAGGGTTCGCCGCGCTCAAGACAAATTCGCACGGCGCCACAGCGAGAGCGCTTCGACACGCACGATCTCCGCAGAGGGTTCGCCGGCTCAAGACAAATTCGCACGGCGCCACAGCGAGAGCGCTTCGACACGCACGATCTCCGCAGAGGGGTGCGTTTCGTAAGCTCCCGTCGGGCCTACCCCCGCCATAAAAAGAAGAAGAATTAAGAGTCGAGAAGTGAAGGTAGAACAGAAAAGTTAGCTTGTGTTTTTAGGATAGTGAAGTAACACCCGACAAATTAGCTTGTGCTTTTAGTAGAATGAGATAACAGCCGAAAAGTTGACATGAGAAGTAGGCAGGTGAAGTAACTCTCGACAAGTTGGCATGAGAAGTTAGCAGGTGAAGTAACTCTCGACAAGTTGGCATGAGAAGTTGGCAGGTGAAGTAACTCTCGACAAGTTGGCATGAGAAGTTGGCAGGTGAAGTAACTCTCGACAAGTTGGCATGAGAAGTTGGCAGGTGAAGTTGGCAGCCGCTTTTAGAAGAAGAACCCTTCGCAATGCTTCCGGGAAAAAACGAGAGGCTGGTTTTCTTTTGCTGTCCATTTGTTTCTAATCCACCAAAGGCCCCCAACCCCCCCAAAAACAAAAAAACAAAACAACAACACAAAAACAAGAGGCTGGTTTTCTGTTGGTTTCCATTTCATTTCCAACCACGGCGACCCCAGTCCGGGAGTCCGACGTTGCGACAATGGCGCCTGTGGGGACTGGAAGGCCAGGTCTCGCCCGTAGGCGCCTTGCTGGAAGGTCACCAGGAAATGCCGGCGGCAGTAGTGGCACTTGAAGAACTGCTCCAAGAAGCCGTGGATTCCACGCAGCAGCCTCGCACCGGAAACACTTTCACTGGACCTTCCAATTTTGGCTCAACACCAAGCGCAGGCGTGTTCGAAGCGCAACGGGGAAAAAAAAAACGCGTGCCGCTGTTTGTCAGTGGACTCCCAAAACGATGTTCTTTTGGGTTCCCCTTTTAAACCGCAAAAAGAAGATAACCCTCAAGAAAAAAAACCTTCAATGAACGCTGGACTCCTCAAATGTACAAGGACTGCGAGCACTGGCGCAGAATTAGCTGAGTTCCATGAACGGACAGAACCCCCCCTACCCCATGAAAGGGAAAACGGGTTGCCATAAATGGAGATTTTCAGGGGTTACCCCTCCCCCAATTCCATTTTTAAGGGACCCGGTGGGGATTGGACGGCTCACTCTGTTTCTACGCACTACCGTCAAACAAAAAAACACTCGGCAGCTGCTAAGTCGTGCCAACATGGCCGTGTGCCGAGCTGCTTCACTCACTTCTAGCCAGGAGGATGGGCAAAGTGGAGAGCTACACACCTTGAATTGCCTTGAGTATGGGCAATCTGGCCCTGCAAAGGCTCACGCCACTTTGCTTTGTTCACTTGTCCAATAAACTGGGGAGGGGATCAGCAATCCTTCTCCGAAATCCGGAAGGGAAACCACAAATCTAACACGAGAATCTTGCGGATTGATTTTGATGAACCCATGCTAAGGTCCAAAGCGAAGAAGCATGGGTTCATCAACATCAATCCGCAAGATTCTCGTGCCAGATTTGTGGTTTCCCTTCCGGATTTCGGAGAAGGATTGCTGATCCCCCCCAGTTTATTGGACAAGTGAACAAAGCAAAGTGGCGTGAGCCTTTGCAGGGCCAGATTGCCCGACGTGATTTACAGGGCTAGCATTTACGATGGTTGTAAGCGTTACTAACCACTTAAGTACCTCTTCAAGAATTCTTCGCTTGGTTGCTGGTAGCGACCCGCTGCAAAAAGTGGTCAACTTGTTGTGGTTCCACCACTTTCAAGCAACAAGTTAAAATAGGACCCGTCACCTACGGTTGACCCCCTATTAATCAACCCGAGTTCATTAATAGGGGGGTGGGGCCCCCCCCAAAAGTGAACAATCCCTCCTAAAACCAGGGACACCCCTGTTTTTTCAATGGGGGGGTGTTCATTGATAGCCAGAAAGTTCAAGTCTCCTTTCAGGACTTGGTTGCTGTAACGACCCCCCTGCAAAAACTTTAACTTTTGGGGGTTTAGTAGAATACACCTTTCTTTCAACCAAAAAGTTAAAGTCTAAAGATCCGTGGCCCACTAGCCAAGAGGAGCCCTGAAATCTCTCTCCGGCGCTTTCTCCAGGGCACGGCTCCGGCGCCTCCGGCCGAGCCGATCTCAAGCCCTCCGAGGCCAAGACGTGGAGCAAGGCCCAGAGGCGACAGGTCTCCGTGGCGCACGTGGACGGCTCCTCAACGAAGCTGCGCTGCCCCACCTGCGATTCGGATGGATTCGGAATTCGGATTCCCAGCGGCCACCCGAATAAAAAAAAATCCCCCCGGTCAAAAGAGTTCGCCCCCCCCCCCCCTCAAGAAAAAAAAAGAAACAAACAAACAAACAAACAAACAAACAAACAACAACCGGTCAAAAGAGTTCGCCCCCCAAAAAAACAACAACAAACACGAACGTGTTGTCATAGGACGACTTCTATTCCCAAAAACTTGGGGTGAAGGATGGTCACGCCCCCCAGCATGGAACACAGGTAAAGGCGAAGGAAGCGAACTCTCGACCATGGACAGGAGTTTTGCAACCAGTGGCCCTTGGTGAATGAATCCAAAGACTTTTCTGGCTGACTGATTGTTTGGCGGTTTCTGACTGAAAATCCGGTTCTTTGTGATTTGTAATTAGTTTGGGAATTGGAACCCCTGGTTCTGGTGGAGGGTGAATAGGACACGCCTCCTCAAACACAAAACCACCAATCCAAACCACCAATTAGAGGGAAGCTGAAGAATCGGTCGCGCAGAACACAAGATCCTGCGCTCGCTCAAACAGGTTTTCTGCTCGCGGAATGTGGGTGTGCAAATCCCACAACTGAAAAAGCCACATTAATGCAACGGTTGCCAACGTCCACACTCAAGTCTGCTGACGCCATTACCCATCCCTGCTGTCCGACGTTGTTTGAAGGAACCGCCGTGAAATCCAAGAATATTTAGCACCATACTTGGGGGAAACAACACAGCTGGATGCAGCCCATGCGCATCACAAGTGACATGTTGAATGTTTTTATTCTTCTATGTGTGGTTATGATCCAGCATGCTTAGTGCTCCTCAGATGCATCACCCGCATCGCGTTTGATCTCAATGCCATTCGGAGCTTCGCACTTGCCCAGTTCGGACCTGGAAATAAAAAAAATGTGATCACCTCTTGGGGCCATGACTAAAACTGGGAACCCAAACTGCGATGAGTTTTAATAAGGGACCCTTTGATGGACATCATTTAGGTGGGGATTCATGTCCACCAATCACTTTTGAGGTGGTTCCCTATTAACATTCATGGCCAACTGGGGAAAACCAACAGGTCAGATCCGGTTGATTCGCTGTGGACGGACAGGGCCTACGTGACACCCAAAGGGAACTCGATCGACAGTGGCCTGAACTGGGGGCCACTGGGATGCAGTGGACATCGCACTTGGATGTGCCAAAACAGAGACCCCACGCGCTTGATTTGTCCCGAAAGCAAAAGCGGAAAGCTAGAAAACAGGGGGAGTCCGTGAGCAAGAAAAAGGACCTCGGACGGATTCGTTCACCAACGATAGCCCTGTTTCCACCCACTGCATTTTGACCTCCATTCTACCTCTTGGCTCCTCAGCAAAAAAGCAGTTTAAGGGGTCATTTGTCTGCAAATTGTAATAAAATTCACAAAGCTGAACTAAGAATTGGACCCCCAAGTCAAGGACCTTATAATGGCTTTCACTTCTTTTACCCCAAAAATCGGTGAGATCGCGTCGTAAAATATATGCAGGCCCCCCCCCCCCCCCCCCACCTCTCCCCCCTCCCACCACCTCTTTCCCCCCCACCCCCTAGTGTTCCAAAAGCTGAAGCTTGATCCCTTGGAAGGTCTGTTGTTTTGGTCGAAATCCAGGGCGATTCCTGGTTCGTATGCCGGGGAGATGCATCTTTCCGAGCCAGCGCTCAGGGCAACCATGCCTCCACGATGCTCGTCAGCAGCTCGCTGCGCATAGCCTTCCACTCCTTGGCTCATGCAAGCCGAAAGGCAAACAAATCGAAGGTGGCGTCCACTACCCAAACCACTCGAGGGAACATGGGAGATACACACACATATAGATATACATATACAGTGTACAAATATATATATATATATATACGTATACATATGTACATATATACATACGCACATATATATATATGACTATATATATATATATATCTATTGGCCAATTCCTGGGGTCTGCCCCAGCCCGGAATGCCCCTGACCCCCGCCGCCTCGCACTGCAGCCCTAAATCATAAACTCCAAAAATCAATCAGAAATAAGACACATGCATTCAGATACGCTTCAACGCCTGTATACCTTTTCTAGTGGTAAGTGGCACATTAAACCCCCAGTCGTGTGGAAATCGTGGATACTGTAGATGGACAATATCCTGCACCGCTTTGTTCCTCCCTGTCTTCATTCTTTTTGGTCGTCAATGCATCCTGACTCCCCGGAATGATTCGGTCCAGAGTATGCCAAACGAGGTCGGTAAAACCACATCTATTCCTGAGGGTATCACAAAAATGCGAGAGCTAGGGCTACGCAGGTTTTACTCAGTTGGTGAAAGGGCCTGGAAATTGAAACGTTTGCCTTTTGGGATCTTTACTAAAAGTGAGCGGAATAGGGGTGTCAAAATTCCATGCAATGGGCCTCCAAATGACCATGGGTAGCTTTTCCCATTTCTGGTTAATTATCAAATCGTGTTAGTGGTAAACCAAGCCAATGGGTCAACCCCCATATGTCAAATCTCTGCACATCTCTTTTGGCACCATCGCCTCGACGAGGCGCTCGCGCGTGCGCGCGGCTTTAATTGAATTCTCTCAGTGCCAGCCTGTTTGGGTGTGGGAGCCACGAGAAACGTTTGCTGGTTGCGGTTGACCCCTCCGCAAAGAGCGATTCGGATTCAATGCGGAAACCCCCTGATTTCAACCAAAAAGTCTAAAGATCCCTTACCAAATGCCAACATTGTGGGTGCAGCAATGCATGATTAGTGGACACTGATTGCCTTTCGAGGGCATGCTTTCTATTGAAGTGTCGAGATTCTGCTTCACGCTGCGGGCAAACAAGGTGCCCTCTGGTAAGATCATTTGAGCCCGTTGATCCTGTGAAGTGAACCGTCCTCCTCTTTCCCTCAGTCATTCAACAAAAAATACGTTTGCTTCTGGTTCGTGCTTGGTGAACCATTTTTTACCTTACAAAATCATCTAATTGTCAAAGAGATTCCAGCTCGTGTTGCGAACCTTGAAACATCCAATAGTTCAACAGCAACAAAGACCCCGCTTTATTTGGGCATGACTGTTTGATGGACGATGGACACCATTTTGGTCGGGATTCAGGAGCCCACCAACCACTTGTGAGGTGGTTCCCTGTTGTAGCTCATAGGCATATTTGGAGGTGTCAGTTTTTTGAGGGCTCCTTATTTCTTGTGGCTTGAAAGGGGCGCCAAAAGGACACCCGGCAAAATTGTTGGGGGTCCCCTAAAGAAAGACGCGCCACCCCTTTGAAAGGGAAGCCAAAAGGACAACCAGCAAACTATTTTATTTGTTTTTTTTGGGGGGGGGGGAGGCCCCCTACAGAAAGACACACCCACTTGAAGGGGCAGGGTACCTAGTAAGCGGTTAGTAAGCCAGGATATAACCCACTGAGCCGCGACTTATAACCATGGCAAATGGGTTATAACCAGGCTTACTACCCACTTACCAAGTCCCCTGCCCCTTTAAGCATCTGAGCACAATCAAAACCCGGTATTGAAACGGTCGACCCAGAACCGTGTAAAGAATTAAGAAGGCGGATATCCGCAGCTATTCATGGTTGGGATTATCCCTAACCTTCATCTACCCGGGTTTTGACTGTGGCTCTTTTCTGCCTAGCAACCAAAAAGCTAAAGTCTCAAGACCTGTTGCCCAATAGCAGACAACCCATTAAGCATGTGCCCCCTCTCATTCCAAGCCGCGTCTGCGCACAGCCAGGCGCCCTGGAGCGTTTGGGCCGCCCGAAGGCGCGAGGAGAGCTGTCGGCGCAGGCTGTGGAGGGCCTCGTGGATACCTTCGCCCGGGAACGGCGAACGCATCCCGGGGGAGCTGTGTGTTAACTAGGTCGCCCAGGAGAGAGGTTAGAATAAGGGTGCAGTCTATTTTAGTAGGGGAACCCTGGCCCACAAAGGGTAAACGGACATTATTGGGGGACCTAGTGTATTGTTAAGCTTGCTTGTTTGCGTGGGTGATTCAGGGCGGGTCGTGGGCGTGGGTGATGCTTATGAGGATTTGTAGATTATGCTTTGCTTTGTTTTTTGTTTTTGTCTTCTTTCTTTTTTTGGGGGGGGCTCGTGGGTGATGCTTATGACTTGTTGGCATGGTGTTTGTTGTTTTGTTTTTGGGTTTTGAGGTTTGGGGAGGGGATTGAATTAAACCAGCGTGAGAGAGTTGTGCCTAGCCCAGCAATTGGTTAGGGACACGTTTTGCCGAACACTTGCGCGGAGCGAAGGGGGGCAGAGGGCGTGTCACTACTTAAAAAAGCGGCATAGCGGCACTGGGCCATGTTTTTGGCAACCCCACTGTTGTAGGGGTGGTTGGGAGAAGCCACCAATCCGTGGGATTCTTGTCTTTTTCTTTGGCGAACCGTCGCTGGCTTTTAGAACGAATGAAGCTGGAAAACCGATAGATCCAAAACCTGTTCTTGGGCTACCCCCCCCCCCCCAATCAGTTTCACAGGGAAGCTCACGTGCCACTCGCGCCGCGATGCCAAATGCAGCTGGCAGGTTGTTGACAAGAAGGGCGACCCATGCCTCGACCACCCGCAGCTGCTCATAAGAGAAGGCCTCTACATTGCCATCGTCCCCGAGAGGAACGATCCACTCCTATCAGGGCGGAGGTTGCCGTGAAAGTCTCGAGTTTTCACTTTTGGACGGAGCTTGCAACTTTGGCTGCCATGGCGGGAATAGCGTGATAAGAGTCGACACGCCATGGCAGCCTTTTAAATCCTGTTGAAGCCTGGCGACTGGGCAATAACAAAGCGACGGTGCGAACAGTCCTGTCACGCAGCCGCGCGTGGACTAGAAACATTAAGCACCCTCACATCTTGGCTTCAATGTAGCTTGTAAGGCTCCACGGCAAGTGCCCAAACGCACACCCCCTCACTCTGAAGGTGCAGGGAGCAGGAAGGCTGTCATTTAGAACCTTTCGGAGGGTAGACAAACGGATGAAACGGCAGATGCGCTGACAACCCTTGCACAACTGCTGCTTGGCCACCGGCCCAAAACACATCTCTCCACCTATCTGCCAATGTTCGCGTATTTGCCGCAAGCAAACGGCCCTTTTGCACTTCAGCCATGTCCAAAATAGCCAGAACACCAGTCTTGCACCGATAATGCCACATGCGGCCACACACACGCCATGTGAACTGTCAAGCATGTTCAACTGAGAAAAGCCGCCGCCCGCGGGTTCCTCAGATTTGCCCTGCACATCAGCTCCCCTTCGGTTCCCTGCGCCAATTTCCCGGCCTTCCCGGCCAAGTCATGCTAAGCATGCCACAGGGGTGCATCAACTCCCCAGCCCAGGCCCCAAGAGGTTCAAACCAGCGCGGGTCAGGGGCAGCACCTGCTGATGTATCTGCTTTCTTGGTCTGAGGGTAATGTTGACCCAGGATCTAAGCAGAACCCGTCCCATTCAGTAGGGGGGTGGGGACCCCTCCAAAAGTGGTCTGAATCCAACCACTAAAAGGAATTGGACACGCCCCAATCAAAATCAACCAGGGGTGTATTAATCCGGGGGCAACATTATTCCACTGAGAAAACGCCCGCCTTTCAACGGATCGGAAAGGTGATGTCATCTGCAACTGCGCCAAGGCAGATGCTTAGAAGTGAAGAGACTGGCACCGGACCACCAACAAGCCACGCACGCACAGAAACGCGCGCTGTGTGTTTCACAGCTTGTAGGCAGGGCCACCGTGGTTACCTTGAAGCAGGTCAAACACTTCTACCCGAGAAATGGCAATACTCCTCCGGAGTTGCTTACGTGGGTGCCCGTTTCACACCTAAAACTGTATTCCGTATCCGGATGCCGCTGAACAAGGGAACCCACTATCTGGCATACTGCTACAACAAGGGGAATCACTACAATCTGGCATCAGGGATTTAGTCCATTTTAGCGGGGATTGGGATGCTGGGGGTACAGCCATACATCAACTCCCTGGCGCCTGAAAGATGTGTCGCAGCATGAGCAGCGCATCTCCCCAGCGCCTGCGTGCGGTGAAGTTTCTCTCCACGTCGTGCCAGCCATTGCCCGCGGCCTCGCTCCGGGGGGCTAACTTTCTTTTAAAAGTGAACATGCCAAAAGCTGGGTACCGGATCAAAACAAACACACACAAACACAAGGATCAACCAAAAACTATTCCAGGTGCATCCCTATTTGTTTTCGTTTTGAGGCGTATGCCCCAAAAAGGGCTGTGCAACCTTTCTGATTAAAAAAAAAATGAGCACCAGGCCACTTGCGGATATTTCGGACAACTTGGTGACTGGCCGGGCCTCTAGGTCCTCAGGATGCTCTGGGTGCAAGGCTGTGAGATTGGGGCAGGCGCCAGACTGCGATGTCTCCGTCTCGAACCTCAGGTCCCAAGCACCCAAGCACCAAGGCCATGCTGCGATCTAGGGCACCCAAGCACCCAAGCACCCAAGAACCTCAGGCCATGCTGCGATCTAGGCGCCAATGATTAATTATTTCCCTTTCCACTTTGGGTCAATACCCGGCCGCCTGCGGCCTTTGCGACGCATGAAAGTACCAAAGAGACATATTTGCATTCTTCACGTCCTGGTAACAAGAGGTATGCGCCAGGGCGCATTGCCAAAGGTTTGTCCTACAAGCAAGGGGCAGCCCAACAATGCAGCGCCAGTGATCCGCAATGCGTAAGACGACTGGCAGCTCTCGAGGCGCAAGGGATTGCACCCCTGAAAACCCACGGACTCACAAATTATCCGCTGACCTGGTCCCTTGCCCCAAAAAGAAACCGCAGCCAGCTTTGTTACCCCTCCGACGAGGGGTGACATGGGAGGAGCAGGGGTCTTGCAGGGCGAACAAAAATTAGGGCATTCTGGAGCGCCCAAGCGTGACGGTGCAAATCACAATTACAGCTCCAAACTTCTTGCACGCAACAGTTGCACTTCTTATTGGCCAAATTGGGCCTGGATTTCTCGTTCAAACCTAAATGAATTCACACGCCCTCCACAAGCCTGTTAAACTCCTGACCCCGCTGGCAAAAAGAACAAAAGAGAAAAAAGAGAAAACATAAACACATATGGCCAGACCCGCTGCCCTTATTCCAGTTTTCCAATCCCCTTCAGCCAGCTTCCTTGACTGTTTGACAAAAAGTTACGCTTGGAGAAACCACGCCCTATCTAATCTCCCTATTTTGAGCAGCATCTTGGTTGCTGTAACGACCCCTCTGCAAAAAATGAATCACTTGTTGTGGGTTTAGTGGAAACACCCTTGATTTCACCCAAACAGATTAAGTCTAAAGATCCGCCACCCAGTCACCCAGTCAGGACATGAAGCAGAGGTGACCATATCTCAGGTGGTGCGAAGCTCTCCGGAAGCTGCTCCAGCAAAAGCTTCAAGACCGGGAACTCCCCGGGCAGAGCATACCGCGGCAGCATCTGCCGTAGCTGGGCATCCTCCGGGCTGGGCCGGCGCAGCTACACATCGTGTATCCCTGGTGTAATTGCCTCACTTCCTGTCATCAGGGGAAAAAACAAAAGGGTCTCCAAACTTCAAGCAGCCCTGACCAGGTTCGAACAAAAGGATTTCCCATCGCTCCCCCAAAGAAAGAGGCAACATGGCATAGTCGAGCATCATCTGCATCGATCATGATCGATGCAAAAGAAATCGGATAGAATCTAGAAGACACACGCCTCGATGCAAAGGTCACCCAAAGGGCGCTGTGAGGTTTGCCCTCGGTTCCCTGCCTTCACAGCCTCCACCCAATGCTCCACCGCCTGGTGCACGACGAGGTCACTGCCCAAGTACCTGCAGGATTGGACACTAGGTCCTCCAGTAGAGAGGATAGAACAAGGGTACTAACTTTTGTCCGTAGTCTACTTTAGTAGGGGAACCCTCCCCCAAAAAAGAAACGGTAAAAGGGCACCTGGCTGGGGGACCTATGACATCCGTGAGGCAGATCAGCATGTGGGTTGGTCGTTTTCGGAGGGCACCCCCTGTTTTGGCAAGGTTTTACAGGGAAACCAAGAGGCAACCCACCATATTGGTGCTTCCCTAAAAAAGCCCCACAAAAAGAATTCAAGGGTCGGCTGCACCTATGGAGTATCCCTTGGGTTTGATTGGCTGACTGACTTACACAATGTGGATCGGATCCGAAACTTCTCTCCTTGAAGGGGCCTGGGGGGGGGGGCCATGCGAGGACTGGGCTCTTACCCCCAAATTGCAAATGCACGTCTGGGACCCCGATTCTCCGTCACAAGCTCCATTTCGTCAATTTCTGGGGCTCCCCTTAAAATCTATTTATATAGCGCTGACATATATGATAAATATTCAAATGATCTAATTTCCTGTGTGCCCCAGATGTGGGCCAAACATATTTTCCTTGGGTCGAAGAAACAGGGTCAATCAACTTGAAAGTGCAAACCGACAGGACTCGGCGTTTCACTTGGAGACTTGGATGTGGCTTGCAAATCTCTGCTCGGAGTTCAATCCTCCGCAGGAAGAGCTGCGCGGCTTTGGTGTGTTGAAACTGCCATTGAAACCGGGCTCAAAACACTGGTGCCTTTGTGCAAAGCTGGGGTACTCCCCAATCATATGTATACATATATATATATATATACACGCATAAACTGATTCTGTTTCATACTTGGTGCATGTCAAGATCTGGGCTGTTCCCAGAAGCCCTGCTGAAAGTTTAACTTGTAGGTTGTTACACGGAACATACGGAACCTCCCCCACTAAACCAACTAAACAAGCTAAAAGCCTCAGGGCATGCATGGGAAACACCCAGAAATATTCTCCAAACATATGGCCATGGGTCAAAAGCTTTGACCCACGGCCACATCCGCAAAGTGGGATGAGGGTGTCCCTGGGTTTAGTGTGGATTTGTCACTTTTGGAGGGGCCCCAACCCCCATATTAATAAGCAGGGGTTTATTCATCCGGGGTTAACATTACTAGCCCTCCAGTAGAGAGGTTAGAATAAGGGTACTAACTTTTTTCCGTAGCCTATTTTAGTAGGGGAACCCTCCCCCAAAAAAGAAACGGTCAAAGGGCACCTGGCTGAAAAACCTAGGACACATCCATAAGTCCGAATCATGCGGGTTGGTCGTGTTCGGGGCGGGGGCACCCCCCTTTTTTGGGCAAGGTGTCCGGGGTCAACATTATTTGATCCATCAAACTCAAAACTCAAAAAAGTCCTTTGAAGCCGTCGACTCGCCTCGCCTCGCCACCAGCAGCGGGTGCCCAGGCCAGCGTTGCTCTGCGCAAAGCTTCTCCTCTGCTGCGCTCAAGGGGGGCGAGACCCTTTTGGATCTGCTTGGTTGTTTGAAAGGAAAACCAAGAAAACAACCCACTTGTTTTTGTTATTGTTTTTGTTTTTGTGTTTGTCTTCTTCCTTTTTTTGGTGGGGGGGGGGCACTGGCCCCGATAATTGCACCGATCTTTCAGATTCCCGCGCGGTGTCCAGCCCCAAAAGCCTTGAAATTCCCTGAGAAGCAGCAGGAAATTTTAGTGGGTTTAATGGAACACCCCCACTAAACCAACTAAACAGCGAAAAGCTAAGGTACCGGATGGCTGGGAGCCACTAAGTGAGGTACCAAATGGATTTCGTTCATCCACAGTAGGGTTGGTCTCGCGTCCTCGCTGGCGCAATTCACAGCGCCGAAGCGAAGACGTGTCTTGGCTCGGCGCAGCAGTAGCCTATGGCGTGGAGAGGGGGTGGGACCCACGGGCGCAAAAAACAAAGGCGACAGGAAACATAGGGGGGAGTGGCATGGTTCTTGGAAATAATTCTTGTGATACCAAACTTCAAGTCCCATCACAACTTCCATGCTTTTCGCTCCCTGAGAAAACTAAACATATTTCCAGTAGTTATAGATTCCCTTCAAAACCGCGAAAGGAAAATAACCAAGTAGTTGCCCATGAAAATTGCCCATGAAAAACAAACTCATTGGTTTGAGCCGGTTCGAGTCCCATGGGCAACCAAACTTGCGGAAGGATTGGAGTACCATTTTCAGCCCCGCCACGGACACCCTGCTGTTCCCCATGGCAGCGACGATTGAAATCTGTGGTCGCAGAAGCGCCAGGGGAATACAGAAAATCACAGAAGCTCGCATGTTCAGATTCGGATTCATACTTAGTCCACCCTACATACACATATATATATATATACATGCTCTAATTTTTGCGGGCGTTCTCTAAAACGAGTGGCGCCAGGCGGTACAGCTGCGGCATGAGCTGCTGGCAGTGGGGGCACCAATGCACAAAGACCTCAGGAGAACAGATGGCCCTGGTAGTTGATTGAACCACCAGGTGAACCAGGAACCGCCCTCGTTTTTTCAACCAAATCAACCAAAAAGGACACCTACGATGTTTTGGGGGGACTAGCCCCGGCAAGATAACTTGATTATATGGGCATGGATCAAAATCCCGTATCCCCAGTGAACATCCCAATCTCCACTAATAAAAAGGTTCCAAAATGGGTGGTGCACCGAAAACCCCAAAATCGGATCCCATTGGCTTTGACAACCACGGCCATGTGGGCATGGATCAAAATTAGTCACCACCAGGATACAGACCGCAGGCTTTAGCTTTGTTTCCATTTGCCATGGCTCCATGTTGGGTATTTTTGACCCACACACATATCACTTCTCCCTTGTTGGCTTTGGTATTGCCTTCCATTGTTGGCTTATTTGGCATACAGGCATAAAATGAAACCAAATCGGACGCAAAGAGCTTAGTCCTCTCTGCCTTTGTGCAGATGGCGAATTTCGGCTGCAGTGCAGCTGCACAATGTGCGGCAGGGAATTGGCAAAATCCCAAGCAAGGCAAAATCCCAAGCAAGGCCCAACATACATGGGTGTCCCTTCAGGGGAAATAGATGGCATACTTGGTAGATGATTAAACCACCAGGCAAACCAGTGCCAATTTTTCAAGCAAAACAACCACAAAGGACACCTATGCCAACATATGTCGCTTTGAGCCGTTAGGGGGCTCCCTGAGATCCAGCGGCACATCACGAAAAACATCGAAAGCACAGGCGATGGCGGTGGCGAGTTTGCAGCCAAGGCTCCTTGAATATCCAAAGCTCCTTCTGGAACACCCCGCACTCCTCGCCAATATGCATGCACGATACGTCTGAGAGCACCAACGTTCCTATGCCCAGCAATCATGCATGTCGCACGGGTCTTCAAACGGCTCTGTCTGGCAAACTCGAGCGTTGAGATCGGAATTCAGCCCTGAATGTGAAGAGGATACCAAGCGTGCAACTTGGGTCGTAGACCACCTGGGGTGGCTCGTTAAAGGGATCCGGCTGGTTGTTCAAGCAAATGTCATCCAAATCTGCTCGTTGGTCCCTTGAAATGGTTGCTGGACAGCTTTTTCTCTCTGCAGGTGAAGCTTCGATGATGCGCTGCCTTGCCTCCCCCACCCAAAACAACAACTATACAAAACATCAACTCCAAACAACTTAGACGCCGCAATGCTGAAGCTATCGCAAATGCTGGAACCACCGTCATTTATAGCCCTAGAACCGTTGGCATTCCAAACATGCAACCACCGGCGATGGAAAACCGCGAGCAGATCTCCGACCGCCGCCTGGTTGAAGTCAGGTTCGCAGGCTCATGAAAGGCTCCCCACCAGGGGGGTCTTTGTGCCACCTTTTCTGAGCAAATGGGCGACCATGTCCCGCAACAAGGAATGCTTCACTGCCCAGGGGGTCGATCATTTTTTCCACCAAAGGTGGCAAAAAGACCCCCCTGGGTCACCAAACGTTGAATAGGATGGGGTGCCCACGCCTTCGTGCATAGACCTGCAAGCTTGGCCCGTGCTTGCAAAGAGCATTGAAACCATCCGTGCGTTAGCTTCTCGGCCTGAACTACAGTAAAGCCCATGACCCAGCTACAAGCTGCCGGACGACCAGCGCCGTCCAACGAGCAACGCAAACTAAGTGAAACTAACTGGGCTCTCCTCAGATCCCCTGCTAAAAGTGAATAACTTTTAGTGGTAAACGGGGAATTCGTGCATTTTTTCACAAAGTCTTGAGGTTTAATGGAACCGCCCAGTAAGCCAACTAAACAGATCGAACAATTAAGGAACCTGATGGCTGGCAGCCACCAAGATAAGTGAAAATAAGTGAACAAGAAGTGAACCAAATTGTCCTCCATGGAGTAGAAGGTGTCGGAGTCAATATTTACCACCGCCGTCTCGATCACTTCGGCATCCCTCTCATCCTGCAACTCCTCGAAAGGACCTTGAGATCTTTAGGCCAAACCGCCGATCCTTTGGGCGTGTTTGGGGAATCTGGAGACTGTGTTTCAAGGGTATTTTATCAGGGTGTGGCAATCCACACGCACTACCAAAGGAGGCCCACCTTCAGGAGCCCAAAAGGTGACGTATCACTTGGCGCCAAGCGACCTCCAAGCCATTTTGGAGTGCCATCTTGAATGGCCAGTGGGGCTGATTATCTGATTTGATCTGGCGAACTCACTATGTTTTGGTTAAACAAAGGGAAAGCAACAGGGGATGTGCAATTCTCGATGTTCGATCCGTTTTCAGGTCCTGGCCCGCTGCTGGGTGTGTGGTGCTGGTAAATGTTGGCTCGAACGGCCCAGCCAAGGTGTGAGCATGGAAAATGACATGGTCTCTATTTGAAAAACACAAGGCATGACATGGAGACAACCAAACTCAAGGCGCCACATCTTGGAAGTTGAAGGCAAGCCGGACTTGGTTCCTGAGTTGCTCGGTTCAACAGAACGCCTCGGAGCAAAAGGAGTAAGGAGCAGGCGTGGGAGTAGGACTGGGCAACATTCGAGCAGTGAAAATGCAGCAGCAACAGGAATCAAGGTAAGGGATTTGGGACAACTCATTGTGCTGGTTCCTGTTGGACAAGACCTGATTTGGGATTTGGGCAGTGTTTGATGGACAACTCATTGGAATCAGGTCTTGTCGTCCGAATTTACTCTTCGACCAGCTTAGACTCCAACATCAGAACGCGTAGCTTGATATCAGTCGAACATTTGACACCTTTCGCCGTTTCCTTTCTGGTCTGATCCACAGCCAAGACACAGAACTGGGCGTGCATCTTGCAGATCCCCGCATGGCCATAGAAGCGGGGAGGGTAGCGGCAAAACAAGGCCCGGGCTTCTTTGGCCTCGGGATGATCGCAGAACTTTTCCCCGATCCTCAGCGGGCAAGAAAGTGGTCGCTTCGCGAAATATGGTCATGGGTCAAAATCCAAATCGTACCCCCAGTGAACATCCCCATCCCCACTAAAATAGGCTAAGATGGGTGGTGCACCTGCCCCAAAATGGTACCATTGGTTTTGACCCACAGCCATATGGTTGCACGCCAGTGAATCAGTTTCGATGGTAAGCAAACAATAGGAATCAACCAACATGAGAGAATTGTGCCACTTATTCACCCAATTGCACGGTGGCTTGCGCTCAGCTTCACATGTAAGTGGAAGGCACCTTGCCAAGTGTGCTTTTCAGGCAACCTCGACTGATCAACCTTTGCCAAAAGCCAAGAAGCACCAGGCTAAAAATCTCAGCCCAATCTGAGCCCTGTGCTCCAAGGTCATCCTCTGGAAGTAAATTGGGTGCCTCCCTAAGTTCATTCAAGCCAGCCAATTCAGCCAAGAATCTGGTTGGACAAGCCGCTCAAGTCGGCCTGCGGGGCAAAAGGCGTGCACACCACTTTCCTGGTCGGCTTCGGCTTCTCACACCTGGCGTGGCTGCGAACACCCTGGAGGAAGAAAAAGGGCCTAAAGGGGCAGGGTACTTAGGTGGTTGGTCCTGGTTCTAGCCCACTTACCATAGTTATATTTTATAATTATAACCAGGCATACTCGCCACTTACTAAGCCCCTCTTAAGTAGGCGTTGCTTCCGTTGGGTGTTTGATTGCGTTGAGCTCTTGGTTCGCTGTTTGGACGACGCGGAATGCGGTGGAAATCAACTTGTGTTGGCAGGGATAGATCAGGACCACCCATGTCAAGCATTTCAAGGGCGACATAAGTCTATGGGCAACTTCCCCATTCTTTCAGGGATCCTTCTTTCTAGAAAACCACCAAAAACCCTGGGGAAATGGCTGGTGTTTGAAAAGAACGATGGCTGAAAAGAATGCGGAATCAACCCCCAGAATAAGGGCGCGGTTGCTTAAAACTACCCCCGGCTTTTCGCTAGCGGCCAAAAGCACAAGACCTCGCCGCACGTGCCTCTAAACAGACTGGCTGGCTGGTTTGGCCAAGGCTGAGGGTCAGGTTGGCCGCATCCCGAGCAACACCGGCACTCGGACCTAGGGCTACCTGTTGGAATTGATTTGGTGGCAGTCTTGGGTTTGTTTCGGGTCATTTAGGCGTTTGGGCTTGCTCCTTTAGTGAAGCTGAAATGTAGAAAATCTCGACTGCGATGAAAGTAAGTCGGCTCAGCCACGGCTCAGGTCCAATCCAAGGGGACAGTCAAAAATTGCTGACCATGCGGCACGGGCTGCTCCATTGAAGCGCTGCTGAAATACTCTTGTGCTGTGTTGTTCGGCTCTGACCTCATTATACTCATTGTATTCAGTTCGTCTTACACTGCAATCTTTATTCAAGCGGTCTTGTTCATTGCTTTTGTTTTACATTGTTTTATAAGTGGTGTTCTACCTTGTAGCGAGACATGCCAGAAAACCAGTAGCTCTCTCAGCACAAGGGACAGGAGTGAGTGCATGTTGCAGGGAGTGTTAGGCATGACGCAACGAAGCAACAACATGGCTACAAGCTGAGTGCGCTGATGGCTAGGGGGAAAGAAGGTCTGGCAATGTAGATTTCAGAAGAGTAGGCTTGTGCAGGCTGTTCTGCTGCACAATTCGTGCACTCAGCTCTGTTGACTGTGTGAAATATGGAACCTCAAGAAAAGAAGTCCATGCGGTGAGCCTTCACTTGGCGTGGCTGGTTGCATGACCTCTCAGTGACCTCTCTGTTCGTTGGTGCAAATCGCTGAGTTGTTGGCGGCTCGCCACTCAACGCCAAACTCATCTGAAAAATCTACAATGACTCTAAAACCTGAAAGAAGAGACCCCCCAAAGAGTGACTCCAAAACCTGAAAGAAGAGACCCCCCAAAAGAGGGAGCTGACATGTGAGCTCGCTTCCGAGTAAAACCAATGGCCCACCTCCGGCCGTTCGCCGCGAAAAGCATCGCGACTTCCTCGCCCGCAAGCTCCGCCAACTCGTAGAAACTGCTTTGGCCTCTTTGCAGTTCCACCTCGGTGTGCAACGGTAACCAACCAACCAACCAACCAACCAACCAACCAACCAACCAACCAACCAACCAACCAACCAACCAACCAACCAACCAACCAACCACCGACCAACCGACCAACCAATCCGAGACAAATGAGACAATGAGACTCCACTGAGATGGTGACCAGCCCTAGAAAAAAACCTAGGGGACAAAAACAAAACACCGGATCCGGTGTGCAACTCGCCAAAACAACACAAAACACAAAAACAAACAAACAGAAATGACGGGGGGCACTGGTAGTCAGACGCCAGCTCAGCTTTTGAGCTCATTTTTTTTCAGCTGAAAGCTTGGGCCCCGGTCGCCAGGCAGCTGTGGTTTGGGGCAGGGTTCCGGGAGGGTTCCGGGGTCCAGAGGGTTCCAGAGGGTTTTAGAGGGTTCCAAGGGGCTGTTGGGGATACCACCTGGATTGACTTCTTGGGATGCGTCTCCCTGCACTGGAACATTTGATATATTGTCCATTCCCTCTTACTGATCCCCTTGCTTACCCCACGAGGAGGCTACATTTCCCACGAGCGCCTAAGCAAAATAGTTGACCAAGCCACCAACCAACGAAACAAACAACACACACGAACAAACAACACATACCCAACCCAACCCAACCCAAACCAAACCAAACCAAACCAAACCAACAAACAAACAAACAAACAAGCAAGCAAGCAAACCACGCAAACCAACAAACACATCCGCACAGAAGCAAACCAAACCAACCAACGAACCAAAAATCAAACAAACAAACCAAGAATCAAACAGACTAAACTTAACAAACAACCGACCGACCGACCGACCAACCAACAAGCACAGCCAACCAACAAACAGACTACCAACTAACTCAACAAGAAAACAACAACAAACCAACACCAAAACACCCAAACAACACACACCAAAAAGTCGAAGCCAGCCAACCAGCGAGCAAGCAAGCCAAACGAACACAAACAAACAAGCAAACATGCAAGCAAGCAACCAAGCAAGCAGACCAACAAACAACATGAAGAACCCATACTGGCACAAATAGACGAACTAACCAACCCAGCAACCAACCAACCAACCAACCAAGCAAGCAAGCAAGCAAATCCATCCATCCATCCACCCAATTCATTACCCTTCTGTATATAGCTCAATACGATCCACCCATCCATCCATCCATCCAGCCATCCATCCATCCATCCATCCATATACAAAAATTCCACCCATCTGCATCCATGTATCCATGTGCATCCATGCAGCCATGCATCCAATCAATCAAATCAACCAAGCGGTATCAAGCAATCAAACCAAATCAAATGAAATGAAATGACATGAAATCAAGTCAAATCAAATAACCAATCAACCAGCCAATCAAGCAGCCAATCAACCAGCCAATCAACCAGCCAATCAATCAGTCAATCAACCAACCCAATTCGATCGAACAATCAATCTTTCCTTAATTCCTTCATTCAATCATTCAATCATTCAACCATTCAATCATTCAATCATTGAATCATTCAATCATTCAACCATTCAACCATTCAATCATTCAATCATTCAATCAATCAACCATTCAACCATTCAATCATTCAATCATTCAATCAATCAATCAATCATTCAACCATTCAATCATTCAATCACTCAATCATTCAATCATTCGAATCAATCAATCAATCAATCAATCAATCAATCAATCAATCAAACAAACAAACAATCCATCCATCCATCCATCCATCCATCCATCCATCCATCCATCCATCCATCAATCAACTGATCGACCGACCAACCAACCAACCAACCAACCAAGCAAACATTCACTCAATCAAACAAACAAGCAACAAAAAGGACGCAATCAATCAACTGTCAATTCAATCAAAGTGTTGGATCCGAGCTTCGGTGATGCTGTCGCGGCTGATCTTTCCAAACTCCGACGCGTCTTGGCCAGGCACCTTGGCTCGACCCATTTCGAGGTGTCCAAGCTGAGGGCCCTACCCCCCCCCCTTCTCCCCCGCCCCCCCCTGCAACCCCTCCCCCGCCCCCCCTGCCCCCCCTCCCCCCCCGCTCCCCCCCCTTCCCCCCCAACCAAAACAACAAGTGACCACTTTGTCTTGGTAAGGAAGGGTCAAAGGGCAAACAGCCAGTGAAAAACAACTCTGACAATGGACATAACTTTGCGGTACTGAAAGTCAGCTGTCTTGAACGCGAGGCCCTTAATAATATGGCTGTGGCTCAAAAAACCGTTACCAAAATGGAACCCTGGTAAGTGGAAACATGGACCAAAATCTGCGTAACCCCTCCTGTTTCATTTTGAGCCACACCCATATCTTCATCATGAAGACCGCCATGTCAAACAGAAACTCAAGTCACCGTCACCGTAGTGCAACCATCCAAAATCAAACAGGGTGAAAAAAGTTTGTTTTTCCGGCAGCCATCAACTCACCAGATCAAACGGCTAAACAACCGCTTTGTCCAATGACTCGTTCTGCTTTGTTAGGCTACATCAAGAGAGCGCACAAAGCTTTCGAGGGAAAGCCGTCCTACCTGAACCTTCTATTTGCAGGGTCTCTCGCTATCGGGCGAATGCCTGCCTTTACACAGCCCAACACAAAGCACTGCCCAACCCCCCCCCCCCCGCCCCCGTCACCCTGCACCGGCGCAAACTGCACGTGCATGTCCGTTCTGTGAGGTCTATAGTGCAGAATCCATGAAAAGCTGGCCTTCGAATGCCGAGGGCAGTTTCAAAGGTGAGAATGCCCGTGGTACAACTCCACAAGAGACAAGTAAGAAAACAACTTGGTCTCAACAAAGTATTGCAGGTCAAACACGCAATACGGTGGGGCGCCTTCAATTCAAGCAGTCAGCCCTTCCGCTTGTTCTGCACATATTGAAACTCTTGGAAGCCTTCTGGCTTTGATCCGTGTTGATTGATCAGTGAAACCCCAAGCCAGCCAAGTGAATTCGATGTCAGGCCCTTGAAGAGAAACTTTAGGGCCCAGAAAGTTTCTCACCCCACCCCGTGAGGGTCGATTTTGATGCGAGTTCCACCACAAGTCATGACCGGATCGAGGAAAACCGGGGGGGGGGGGGGGCATATGGCCATGGGTCAAAACCCCGTACCACAGTGAAATCTCAATCCGCACAAAAATAGACTACAATGGCTGGTGCACCTACCCAAAATGGTGCACCTACCCAAAATGGTATCATTGGTTCTGACCCACAGCCATATGGCGGTAGAAAACCATGTGGCCAGTGGTGCATGCCTAACCCCCCCGACCACCTGGTGGAAACGCGTGTGCCTGCAGCTCGCCCCACAGAGAGCCGCCCGCATCCCAGGGGCAAACGCCTGCCTGCGAGCGACCCCCCTTTGGTTTGAAAGGAAAAAAGTAAAGCAACCATTTGCTTGGTTGACGTTGGAAGGGGAGCAAACATTTAAAATTTAGCAGTTAAGTGGTTGGATTTCAACCACTAAACCACAATAAGCAAAAATGTAAAATGTTCCCAACAACAACCATGTTTGGGGGGGGCTCCGAAGACCGAAGGTTCTATGAACCAACATTGAACCTGACCATGGACTACCATGTTTTCATGAGCTCGGCGGGTTCTGCGTTTGTCGGAAAAGGCTCACGTCAAAAGCAACGTGCAGTACTAGCCTCCTCTCACCACTAAGACGGGGTGATCAAGAATCAAAACAATCCCCTGCCCGCAGAACGCGGACATCTTGCGTCTTGTTGCCTCTGAAGGACCGCCCCCTCTCGGCCACTCTTCACGCGAGCTGCAAATTACCCCTACAAAGCTAGTGGTGTACATATCGGTACATATTGTACAAATGTATTCCATGCACACCCATTCTCCCTCAAAAGTCCCAAGGCAAAAGGGGCACTGGGCCAACCGGTTGGCCCAGTGCTACGCACGGCGGCCACAAGCCTCCCGCAAGTACAGCCCCCCTCAAGCAAAGCCTTTCAGGGCTAGCTTTCGGGGTGGTCGGATTAAGGTTCGATTTTGATCTACAACCAGCCGCGGGACCCGTTGCATTTGTTGCAAAGGAGGCTCCTCTATTGGCTAGAATGTGATTTGTAAGCAATTGCAAAAGGGACACACTTGGGGAACACCCAAATGGGCTGGCATTGTGTCCCAAGCCTCCTGCAGCACCAATCCATCATGCTTCCGTCGCCACCAACGGCTGCAGGCACAAGTGCCCAGCGGCAGCAGAAACCAGAGGCGCATGAAGGCATGCGCCACTTCGCTTGCAACACTTGTGGCCAATCAGATGTGGGCATGTTGTTGCAACTGTTGCTTGCTGTTGGTCGTTCCAAATTTCTGGAGGGCACCCTTTTTGGGGGTGGCAAGGGACTCGACTCGCCGCGACTTGGGCATTTTGGTGTCACACCTGCGTTTAGATCCATGGGGAACTGGGAACTGGTCAAGCTGCGAACAGGTTGATTGGAGCCATCCAGCGACACAACTGGGATTCAATGTTCTTAGGGCGAAACGCATACAGGCACCCAAATCCAAGTTGTGTAAATGCAAAGGGCCTTACCAAAAGCCCGAAATGAAATACGCCACCAAGGGTGTCCAGCCATGAGGGAAAACCTCATGTATTGATGTGAGAGGACTGCCTCCCAACTGGGCAGATCCTTTTGGCACATCCATCCAAAGCCTATGGAATGAGCCAAGATGGGCACATCAATCGCAAGCCTTCACCACAAGCAAAATGCGGCAGGTCGGGACGAAATGAACACGGCATGTGCTTATGGCTCAAAGCCAGCGAAGGACGGTGTATTCCTGTGTGAATCTTCAAATGCTCACACATCGGAGACTCAGCTACAAACACATCCACACATACTTCCCGAAAAAAGGAAACAAGATGAAACCCGTGGAAACAGAACCTTCATGGCTCACGAAAAATCCCCGGGTGTCGTCACAATTCGCCCAAATCGGCTTCGGAATCGGCTTTTGGAGTGAGATGAGGAAAGCCGCAAGCTGAGCTGCCGACTCACGGCTTCTACAGGACCTGAGCTGACCTGGCACCGTCCGACTTCAGGTTCTGCTTAAACGCAAAATGAGTCATGATCAAAACCCGGCATTAAACATGGCCTACACAGAACCACGTAAAGGAATTAAAAAGGCGGCTGCACCTATTTATGGTTGGGATCATGCACCTTTATAACCTTCATCTACCTGGGTTTTGATTGTGACCCAAATTGTTGACTCAAATTATTGACTCATTTTTTTGGGGGGGAGACCCCCAGCAAGGCGCTGAGCAACCTCCTCTGGAAGGTACCCGAAACCGCCAAACATGGAACCCAGAGGCTTCCCCCATCCCAGCCAGCCCTTTCGCGGCAAGCAACTTTCTTCTTTGCAGCCCCCCCTGCCAGTATAAAGGACTGGGCTTACAAGCTTAAAACGTTAAACCCATACGCAGAATGCGAACCCACAACGCACGCAAACACCTTGAAATCAAAACATGCCAGGCGCGACCAAGCCATACCTTTTCACCCCCGCCCCTGCTATCGGCCGCTTTTTTGACAAGCGCTGCCTCAGGCAGCACCTGTCAGAGGCCTCGCCCGAGTGAGACTCAACTCCATGCCGCTGAAATGATTGGAATAAATCCAACGGGGCCGCAACTGCTTTTTCGCCTATCAAAAGAAATGGAGAACGGAGGTCAACAAACGGGGTGGTGTTCTTTTGGCACGAGGGCGCTCTGTTTTCTGCATCACTTGGAGTACTTGATTGGCCCCATCCGTGAGCTGTTCATTTCTCTTAGGATGATTGCAGGGATCCCAGTGCGGTTGCCAGCGGCACGGTGGGAAGAACGCGATGATCTCGAGGAGCTGAGACGTCCATTCTGCGACGCTGTGAAACAAGGGCCGCAAATGCAGCCGGCATGCATGTCATCTGCTGATGCCTCCTGCGCAAGGACCCAGTCTTACCCGGGTCAAGTTGGCTGCAACACGTTGATCCTGCATCAACATGGCAAAATGACGCATGGCTTGTATAGGGGGTCTGGAAGACTTCAACCATTGCCATCCCCTGTTGGTTTGCCTTTGGGTAAGGCAACGCCAGAATACAACACTTTAAGAACATGTCAAATGCAACCAAGATCCTTTGAGAAGGCGACAGCCATGTGCAATGGGCCAGCTGTATCCAGAAAGCAGGATGCAAGAGGCACCGCGCAACAAGAACACACATGCCAGTTCCCCCCCAACACATTCCGAGCCACGTCTTTTTAGGAGTGAGCATTGGCTAATCAAATGCCAAAGAGGTGTGCAGAAGAGCTCATATTCACACTTGCCTGCTTAGCTACCAAGCACTGGGCCATGGGCGAAATGCGTGTGCCTCACTTCCGGGAATCCCTTCCTGCCTTGCCGCTTGAGTCAGAATTAATTAATGTCCATCCTGGATGTAAGAAAGGCCCACCCAAATTTCCAAGCCCTCCAAGCTCCACTGTCTTCCCCAAATGCCTCACAACAGTTTGTGATTCAGGGGTTTCTTCTTCCGGGAAACATGTTGCATCTGAGGTGTTGGGCGGTCAAGAGCTTGGTGGCTCCCAAATTCGCTGAACTTTGCCACCCGATATCTGGTGAACTCATGGCGTTTGCAGGTGAAAAGTGAAAAACTGCTGTTCTGACGCGACGAGTGAGTAACTAATCCTATGAACCAGGGTCAAAAGACCCGTTTACTTGGGGTTGACTCGGGTGGTCGTCCACCTGGTGGTATGGATCCTTAATTGCCATTGTGTTGGTTCCAATTGAGGGGCCCATGGCCATAGACCATATAAGGAGTTTTAGCTCCTTGGTTGACGTTGAAAGGGGAGCAAACATTTATTTTTTGGCAGCCAAGTGGTTGGATTCCAACCACTAAACCACAATAAGCAAAAATAAGCAAAATGCTTTCCAACAACAACCGAGTAACAGTGGCTCATATGTTTGAACATGGTCTTGAACTCACAAAGCGCAAGCAACAGCGCCGGCAACAAATAAGCTGGCGATGACCGAAACAAGAAGCCCGATGCCTAACCCACTTGTCCGCCATGGTGACAACAAACATCCCAACTTTCCACTAGGTTCTGGCGTAAAGTTAGAGCAAACCTAGCTCTTCCTTTTCGTGGCCTGTCCGCAAACATCAAACCATCCTCCCCACAACACATATTTCCAACCTGCACATTGATGTCCTGTTACAGGGTCTTCCTACAGCCCGCATCACGGCTAGCTGGAATGGCCCTTCTAGAATCAAACCATTGGAAGCGGCCACAAAAACGGGCCCCGGCGACATCTTAGACTTAGGCCCAGTAGAATGTATATTCTATTGTTTGCTTCCCTTTGGTTCACTGGTAACATGTAAAAAATGTAGCCTAAGCCTACCCCAGGCGACAAGTTGATCGAATCCCCTCCGGAGTTGATCGACGCAAAGTTCACTTCCACCATCCAGCGCATGAGCTTCAGGAAGCCATTGAAGCTGCAACGGTCCCCTGAGATCCGTGGTGCCAGATGCAAGGAAACGCCAGTGGAAGAACCTTTTTGGGGCTGACCTTTTTAGCAGGCCCCCGGACCCAACCGACATGGAAAAAATGGAGCCATTGAAGAACGTGGCTTTGCAAGCAAGCTACACTGCACCCTTACGAAGTGAGTGCCTGCGTCACGGCAAGCCTTCGGATGGATTGACCAGGGTTCCTTCATTGTATCTTTTCATGATGTCACCGGAAATTGGGACAAATCAACATGGAACTCGAAAAGGGGTTCCCCCACAGGACATCCCCCTATCCACAATGATAGCTTTTGGGTGAGAACGGCTGCATCGCATGAGCAATCAAGGCAGCCAGAGCGTAAAGGACTACAAGAATAAGCAACAATAGCCAGAGGTCGGTCGCAGAAACGGCGGAACTCTCACACAGGCTGTGTCAAAGGCGTGAACGGGGTTGTGCCAGCCTGGAACAACACGAAAGCCACGCGACCCAAAAGAACAACCGCAACAACGGAGGTGTGGTTAATCAGGCAACCCTTGATCATAGCTTGGATTGATGGTTTGGTGGTTTGAACCCCTGATTCTTGTAGAAGGTACAGTAGAAACCAGCCTCCTCCAAACATAACACCAAACCGCCAATTGAAGGGAAGTTAAGTTTAATTGGGAGGACAACAACCTAACAAAAAGGGCCCTCTGAAACTTGGCCCAAATCTGGGGCACCCAGAAAAAACAAACATGTTGTGACTTTGATTCATCTCAGTTGATCAGTGACCCAGGAAAAAAAGGGAACCCTTTTTGGGGAAGACCATTTTTAGTGGGCAGCCACCTAAAAAAAAGGAAAAAAGGGTGCGCCACTGAACAACTGAGTCATGTTTACCCTAAGCAGACAGTTCTGGAGCCCTCCCTCTGAAAGAGGCCTGGCTTCGAAAGCCTAGAACGACCCTGAGCCCTGCGCCACTGTAGTGATGGACTTGCCGGTCCACCTGCTCCTCAAACAAAACAAAAACAAACGCCCCCCCCCCCCACGCACGACCGCAGCAGCTTTTGCCCAACCCAAGAATCGTATGTTTGCATCAAGGCCCACAAAGGTCGTGAGCCTGAACATGAGCAAGTTAGTGCGAAACCGGTTCGCAAGAGATCCCAACTAAACTGCGCGCGGAAAGACTTGCTGTTGCTAAGTTGGCAGCAGTCAAGCGCCTTGCCTCAACACAGGGCTCCCAGTATTTCCTTTTTAAGCATCACCCAACCAACTAGGAAGGTCCTTTCAAATTGGCCCAAAAGGCGATGTCTAAAACCACCAAAAGGGGAAATAATGCCTCATTTGTCACTATACCCCAGCATGGAAAGAATCGGGCACGCCCAACTGGGACATGTCTCAAACACGTGTTTCTCAACCCAGGGGACCCCGTTTTGGAAGGTTTTTACCTAAAGAAAAACTTCCCCCAACTTTGAGAAACACCCATTGGTGCAACTCCCCCCATTTTCAGAAACACCCATATGGACCAGAGGCCCCCTATGATGCTGGTTCAGCCGCCAAAAGAGGGGGAAGAAAAAAAAAAAAAGGAGAAAAGCGGGGGAACCAAAAACAAAAAAACAAGAGGCCCAGCTCCTTGGAGTGGTGGTCCAGTCGGATCCCCATAGCCCGCAGCAACTTGTACACCGAGCTCCTGCGCTTCCAGGCTGGTTCCCCGGGACATACCAACGCAAAAGGGGTTGAGAAAACCAAACAGACCTGAGCAAGGCGAGCTGCCTGGTGACTAAGGGTCATTAAGGACCCAATAGCTTCATGCACTCTGAATCAGTGGAACTACTGTAAACACGCGGGTCCCTTCTTTTGAGAAACCTTTCCGCGTAGCACAACTGCTTTGCAAATCATGTTTTGCCATGTTTTGCCCAAATGCCGCAGCAACATCTCGAGATCCAAGGTGGCTTACATGTGAATCGTTCAGGAGGTGGGGCTGCCACGGCAGCATCTGTGCACGAATCTCTCCCTACGAATCTCCACTAAAATCGACTAAAATGGGTGGTGCACCTGCCTCAAAATGGTGCCATTAGTTTGACCCACAGCCATTTAAGTTTTCTCAATTAAGTGGTTGGATTCCAACCACTAAACCACAATAAGCAAACATGGAAGAGATGTTTCCCAACAACAACCATGAGTTCATGTTGACACATCCATCGCACGTGACAAGCTGAAGCGCCCTTTCTTCGCGCCATGTTCATGCGAATCTCGCGAGCGTCTTTGTCCTGGAGACCGTCCTTGGATCCATCGCATGTTGCATGCGCCCTTTTAAAACGTGATTCCCAGGGGTCCCAAACCGCATATGACCAAGAAAATTGCCATCCATCCCATCGGTTTCCTTGCGGGAATCCTGGGTTGAAGTTGGGTTTGGGGAGCAACAATTTCTCAATTTTAGCAGCCAAGTGGTTGGATTCCACCCACTAAACCACAACAAGCAAAAATAAGCAAGAGCCGTTTCCCAACAACAACCATGAATCCAACCAAAAGCGGCTATCATTGCATTTCACTCCCTGGCTCGATCGCCTATCGCAGCGATCGCAAGACCGGGCTGTCCTTAGATCCCCTGCTAGTGAATAACTCTTAGCGAGAAAAATGGAAACCCAACCTCAGTTGTTCAGTGACCCTGGAGAAGAAGAGGGAACCCTTTTTGGGGCTTGGACCATTTTTAGTGGGGCAGCCAGCCACCTAAAAAAGGGGGAAAAAGCGTGCCACTGAACAACTGAGCAACCACTTAACCAACTAAAAAAGCCGAAAAGCGAATGAAAACCCAACCTCTAAACAAACGGAGAGGAAACAAAAAAACAGGAAAAAAAAGAAAAGCGCAATGGAACCGGATGGAGTCCCAGCCAAGACGAGGCCCTCCGGGGTCAACAAAAAGCCTTGCATACCGCAGGCAAGGGGCTTCTTCCGGAGGCGGTTGGTGGGGTCGTCCGCCTCCCCTGGTTCCAGCTCGTTGAGCCAATACTGGTTGAAAATGTCGTTGAACTCAGTGACCTGGTGGGTCTGGTTGTAGGTCTGGGTGTGGGTGGGTGGGGGTGGGTGGGTCTGGGGGTGGGTCTGGGGGTGGGTGGGGGTGGGGGTGGGTCTGGGTGGGGGTGGGTGGGCGTTGGGTGGGTGTGGGTGTGGGGGTGGGTGACTCAGACTTCGGCCTAAGCAGCGTTTTCTTTTGGTTCCCTACCTCCCTTAAAATCTTGGTGACATGGCTCTACTTTATCACCTGGCATCATAAGCATGGTCCTACCCCCGGGTTTGGTCCTCTTCCTCGGAAGCTCGCTATGTCGGAAACCCGATCCCGGACTAACTTGCAGGAGTGTGCGCAGGGAAGCCGAACGCAGCCAATCCCTTCGAAGCCGCTGCAGGATATGGCCCTACACGTCGTCATGTCCACCAATTACGCTTGACGCTTCAAAGGCCCGGAGTCATAAACACCTGCTTATTAATATGGGGGTGGGTGGGGTCCCCTCCAAAAGTGATGAACCCCCAAAAAACCAGGGACACCCCCATATGAATCAACAGGCGTTGACTAATCCGGGGTCAACAATTTTTTAGGGCGCCCCCCGTGCAACCAGCCTTTGGGTTCCCAGCGCATCCCCGGGCGGTGCCTCGCTCATGGTGAACCCAGCTTCGTCTGCCACCTGGCCGGGCTTGGAACGGGCGAAACCAAGTCTTTGGGCTGGACCTAGGGAACTACTCGTCCCAGCCGGGAAAAAAAAGAAAAACGGGGCTCTTGCGGTTGAACCCCCTGCAAAAAGTTTAACTTTGTGGGGGTTTAGTGGAAACCCCAAATGATTTCCCCAAAAGTTAAAACCTAAAGATCCAACCCAATAGCAGTCAATAAACCAACCCGCCTGTACACACAGAAAGGAAAACTAGGGTGGGTTTGATCTCGCACCGAAGCAAGTCTAGGACGAGCTCTTGCAAAGCCTTGCCTTGCAGGCTTTACAACTGCGAAGGTAAGAGAACTTGGTTGACGTTGGAAGGGGAGCAAAACGCTAATTTTTAGCAGATAAGTGGGGATTTCCCAGTAAACCACAACAAGCAAACATGTAAAGTGTTTCCCAACAACAACCAAAATGCTGCGTCGTGTGTTGCGCGTGTCACTTCAGCTGTGCTACAGTGATTTCTTACAGCCCCGGATTCATGCATCATTAAACGTAAAAGGAACGTCTCAGCATATGGGCACACTTGGTCATGTTCAGACCTCCCCTCCCCAAGAAAAAGAAAACAAGCAACCCCCCCCCAAAAAAAAAATAAATAAATAGATAATAAAACGCCACAAACACCCCCCCCCAAAAAAAAAAAGAGAGAAAAGAAACAGAAAGAACAATTACTTCACTTCGAGCAACCCACCCTCCACACTCACGAGCTTACGACCGTGAACACGGTTATGTGAATTCAAGCATGGTTTTCGAGCGGCTTGGGGCCTATGACTGCTCAACAAGCTTTGCATTGAGAGCCTTATCCACCTGTCTGTGCGTCAAAAACCACTTGTCTGCGAGCCGATCTCGAGAACTCAAACATCAGTTCCGTTAACAAAAGCCAAGCCCCAAGTAGAAACCCGGCGGGAGATTACACGAAATTGCTTATTCGCAACCCAAAGTAACACAAAAGCATCACCCTTTCCGAGCCTCAGGGCACACTCGAAACACGAAGGCGCCAACATGACATGTAAACCCCCCAACTGTGCGCGGGCGGGACATTCGGCAAAACCAGACTGGCGACCTGCTCTGGGGGGATACTGGCGGGATCCACTGGCAAATGCTGGCGAGCCGCTCCGGCTCGATACTGGCCGGATACTCGGCAGGATCCACCGGCAAGGGATACTCAGCGGGATACTCGGCGGGATCCACTGACGAGCTACTCTGGGATACTCAGCGGGATGCTCGGCGGGATCCACTGGCGGGCTGCTCTGGCGGGCTACTCGGCGGGATCCACTGGCGAGCTACTCTGGCGGGATACTCAGCGGATTACTCTGGAAGACTCAGCGGGATACTCGGCGAGATCCGCTGGCGGGCTGCTCTGGTGGGATAGCCGATCTGGCGGGATACTTATCGGGATCCACTGACGAGCCGCTCTGGCGGGATACTCGGCGGGATCTACTGGCAGGCTGCTCTGGCGGGATACTGGGCGGGATCCACTGGCCAGCAGCTCTGGCGGGACACTCGGCGGGATCCACTGGCGTACTCGGCGGGATCCACTGGCGAGACGCTCTGGCGGGATACTGGGCGGGATCCACTGACGAGCCGCTCTGGCGTACTCGGCGGGATCCACTGGCGAGCAGCTCTGGCGGGATACTTGGCGGGATCCACTGGCCAGCAGCTCTGGCGGGATACTCGGTGGGATCCACTGACGAGCAGCTCTGTCGGGATACTCGGCGAGATCCACTGAGGAGCAGCTCTGGCGGGATACTCGGCGGGATCCACTGACGAGCTGCTCTGGCGGGATGCTTGGCGGGATCCACTGGCGAGCTGCTCTGGCGGGATCCACCTGGGTGGGAGCGTGGTGTAGAAGCATCGCAAACGCGGATTCTAACATAAAATCTGAGAACCCCTTCCTGTCGGGTGGGGAACAAGCACAACGGGACAAAATCACCCCACCACCCCCCGCACAATCCTCCCCTCCCCCAAGTTCCCTTCTCCCCACCTGCACGAGCTGGGCTTCTTGCTCCCGCTCGTGGTTCACGAAGAGCGCCTGAAGCCTGAGAAACGCCCCCGCGCTTCCTTCGCCTCGAAGCCTCCGTTAATGGGGACCGGGGCGGATGGATGTTTTCCAGGCACCAGAGGAAAACTCACTTGCCCCTTAAGGAGTTGGACATAAAGGGTGATATCACCTTTTGGCACCCCTACTAAAAATGGTTGCCAAAATTGGAAAACCAAAAGGTCAAAAGGTCGATTCGCTGTGGGCAACTGAGAAAATGGAGCCCTCCCAGGAGAGCCAGCAGATGACATAGAAAAAACTGGCCTCTCTTCGACATATGGCTGTGGCAACCAAAAAACCGGGTAACCCCAAAATGGGTTGCCCTGGGGAGTGGAAACATGGGTACCAAAACCTGCGTCACCTCTCCTGCTTAATTTTGAGCCACACCCATATCTTGCATACCATAGTGCAAGATAGTTTATCTTCTCTTCCCTTCGAGTGCAAGATCGTTTCTACACTACCATATCTTTCTCTTCGACCTTCTTTTCTGTTCTCTTCGACTATCTCTTGATTTCATGTTCATTCCACAAATCCCAATCAAAGATTCAGCCAGGTTTGGGAACAAATGTAAATCTCGGTTAGCAGCTATCGAACAATGAGAGAGTCGCTTGAGGAAATTGATCTTCCAGGTACCCTCCTACAAGTTCTATGTTTGTGGGCCCTGTTGCCAAGGGTGAAGATGGGTGAAGGCAGGTTCCTCAAACCGTGCGAAGCCCCGAACGTGCGACGTGAAAACATGACAGTCCAACGGCTCAACATGTCGAACAATCCCCAGCAAAAACATGTTCATTGATAGGGCACTTCTTCAGCGGTGTCCACTGCAAGTTAAGTACCACGGCAAAGTGTGTCAATCCTAGATGAAACTATGGGTTCTGCTTATGTTCAATGCATGCCTCTCTCACATGCCCGTGTTCAGGTCCTTCGAGCAAGCACCCCTACGTCTGAACATTGGGACACGTACCCACCCTTTGGCTTCCCACAAACGCCAACCAACTAAACAGGGTGCCTCAAAAAAGGGCAGGATTGTTGCCAGCCCAGTGTGTGAAACATCTGCAGCTTTCTGGGTCCTGAAGAAACAAGAAGCCCAACGGGCTCCCAATAGATTTTCCGACCATTGCTGAGCCGCAGTTGCAGCAGGACGTAGAAGCTGACGCTGCCAGATTCCTGGCACACGTCCTCAGATCTGGCCAGACGTGCTGGGGTCCTTTTTGGGGACGTCAGCCACAGGGTTTGGATCGAAAACGGGAATCCCAGGCCCCAGTTTCTGGGGAGCCGATCGCAATGAGCCAAGCAATCACTAGCTGCAACATTTGGCTGAGCCGCGCAAGGCAAGCAAGAACACTGACACTGACTTGTGGCTGTCCCCTTGCTCTACGCCTACGCAACAGAAAGCACCAGCTCACTGCCTAAGATCGTCAGGAAAAGTCCGGAGTTGTGCGACGAAAATGAAAGTACCCCCCCCATATGCTTAAGTCCCCAATATATATATATACATATATATATATATGTATATATATATATATGTGTATATATATATATATGTATATATATATGTGTATATATATATATATATCCAGCAAGCCAGTTGTGATCGATTCCCTTCAAAACCAGAGGAAAATTGCACATCTTCTCAAGCGAACATTTTCGAGACCGTGGGCTCCTTCCATTCCCCATGATACAAAGCCAAAAGCTGATGCTTGACATGTGTGTGTGTGTGTTTTTTTGGGGGACCCACTTTTTCTCAGTTGCTCAGTGACCCTGGGAAAAAAGGATGGGAAGCCTTTTTGGGGCTTCCATGTTTCGTGGGGCCACCACCTAAAAAAAAAGCTGGAAAAAGAAAAAGGGTGCCACTGAAGAACTGAGCAACCACTAAACCAACTAAAAAAGCCGAAATGCGAAAGGAAACCCAACCTCTAAACCAACGAAAAAAGCCGAAAAGCGCAATGGAACCGGTGCCACTGAACCACTGAGTTCTCGTTGGCTTCGAAGGGTGCCGTTCGACGGGGAAAACTCCTCCTTTCCAGGGCAAAACCTCCCCGTTTTTGACCAACAAAATCCTCTTGCTGGGGTTCAGAGATTCCAACTGATCTTGGGGTTCAAAAATCCTCTTGTTGGAATCAGTTGGAACTTCCCCCTTTGACTCAAAAACCTCCCAGGAAAACGGGGGGCCCAACACCTCCCATTGCAGCGAGGTGTCAGCTCCCGCTTTTTCGGCCAGAGTCTTGGCCTCGCAAAAAAGGCTATCTGTGGAAAACTTGCGGGGATTCTTTTTTGGCCACCGAGCTCTAGTGCGACAAACACAACTAGGTCCTCCAGTAGAGAGGTTAGAAGAAGGGTCCCCTTGTTTCTGTAGTCTATTTTACTAGGGGACCCCTCCCAACCAGAAAAGGGGTGAGCAAGGGCACTGGGGGACCTAGACAATTACCTCCAATGTGGGATGGGACAAGGGGATCGCATCAAACAAATGCAATCTTACAAAACTCCCTTGTAAAATTCCATGTTCGTGGGAGGGCCTTGCAAATCCACCCGCCTGACAATTAGAGAACCTCTCCACGAAAAGAACTGGTGTCACGGAGGTGGTTTTGCAACCTAGTTGCTTATTTGCCCGACCCCTTTGAAGCTCGCTCCTGCCCGTGCCGTCTTTACTCGAAACTGCCATACATTGAAGCAGAAGCATGAGTTGGCCACCAGGAACTGGAAACCGGAAGCAAAACAGTCTAGGGGTTGATTCCCCATTCTTTTCAAACATCATTATTTTCAAAAACCGGATCCGTTTCCCCTGGGTTTTTGATGGTTTCCTGAAATAATTATCCCTGGAAAGACTGGGGAAATGTGCCCCTAGAAACATAGACTCACTTGCCCAAAGGACCTGGAAATAAAAACCCAGAAAACCAAAAGGTCAAAAGGTCGGCTTTGGGCAAGTAGAAGCTCAAAAGAAGCTCAAAAAGCCTCTCGGGACCGTTCCCAAGGCCCCATGCTGTAGGATCTTGGAACCCAACTTGGCCGACTTGGGCTAGACACTGGGGGCAGAAGAACCCGACAGGAGGCAGGTGCAGGGTGAAGGCAAAATTCAAACACTTAGGAACCAGTGTTTGCCCTAAGCTGGATGGATGAAACATGACATGACACCTTGTCAACTTTGAAGCAAACATGACCATCATCTCATCCAGGGTGGGCCTTGTGTCAATCAAATGCCAGCCTGACATGTGTGTGCGCATGCTCACTTGAAACCGCAGGAAACTTAGGGAGTGATGAACACACCCTTGCCCAAACAGGTGTGTCTTTCTTTGGACCCCCCACATGGTGGTGTTCCTTTTATTTCCCTCTCACCAACCAAAATGGGCTTCCCTAAAAACGACAGACCCAAGTTTCTACACTTCCGATTTGGAGGCGCCCCCCCCCACCCCCCTCCCACCGCCCCCCCCCCCCAACCTTGGTTTCCGCCGCCAGGGACTTTCCTCAGACTGGTGACGCTCGAAAAGCCTCGCCTGGTGCAGCATCTGCTTCAGCTCTTGCTGCTCCTCTACGGTGCGCACGTGAAAACCTGAGAGCAAAAGGGGCTCTGAAGGTGCGTCCAGTGGCTGTTTCGCCCTGGGGCAAAAATAGCGACTTATGTCCAACTAGGTCCTCCAGATTTGAGAGGTTAGAGTAAGGGTACCTGTTTTTTTGCCTGTAGTCTCTTTTGGTAAGGGAACCCTCCTCCCAAAAAAGAAACGATAAAAGGGCACTACTCGGGGACCGAGCCAATATATTAATAGTGAAATAGATTCCCTTTAAGAGAAACAGTTAAAAATCGTAATTTCAGCCATGGACGCTAGGGTCATTGGCATGGGGTCATTGGCATGGGGTCATTGGCATGGGGGAGAGTAATGGATCATATCGTTGAGACCTGCGACTTGAAGGCACCATTTTGGGCTGGCCATGCCACGAGCGCGGGCTATCTCTAGCTAGGTTGACGTTGGAAGGGGAGTATAAATTTATTTTTTAGCAGTTAAGTGGGGATTTCCCACTAAACACAATAAGCAAAAATGTAAAATGTTTCCCAACAACAACCATGCTGGGGTCTGCCAACTCACAAAGAGGTCCTGGCCGTGCCACCCGGCGTGCGTGAATTGAACCGATGTCTTGGGATGGCCGAATTCCGCGAATTCGCCCCCTCTTGACCATATTGTCGCCTGTAGAAATCATCTTTTACCAAACCCAGTTCTGAAAGCAGCCTAAACCCAGCGCAGTCATGGAACCCGTCCAGCTCGCACCAAGGGAAGCATTGCATGTCTCTCAAAGGGGGTTGGTTGGCTTTCTTTCGGCCACGGGGTGTGGAGAAACTCCCACGGACTCCCGAAGAAGCTTCGCCTGAGGCGAGGGCTGAGATTGCTCAGCAAATTGGTGCACTCCTCCATGGAGAGCACACCCGTCTTCTTCATGTCGTAGGAAGTGAAAAGTGCCTGCCATCGAGCTTTCACTAGGGCCTTCCTACCCCCAAGCCCAAAAAAAAAGAAGAAACTGGTTGCACTCTAGAATCATTGGGTCGATAGACTCTCTAAACGCCGTGCCAAGACGAACAAAACTCCAGAACATGATAACCCCAAGAAGCATACCATGGTGAATGATAGTCTGGCGTAGCTCTTGAGAAAAACCTTCCGCATCTCTCTCTCTCTCTCTCAAAATGGTGACGCAGCAGGTAAGTTGAATACGCTCTTACGGCGGCCACCGCAGAGCAATTGCCATAGCTGTCACTGCGTCTTGGAACCCCTTTCGTGCAGGAAGGCACTGCGTCTGTCAATCCAAAGGCCCCTAGCTTTGGCCTCCGCATTCCTTTCCGACAAGAAAACAAATCATCTCCTTCAAACCACTTCAAACGAACATGGACGTACGCATGTTTGCATACTTCCAAATGAGATATGCCGCCCGGAAAACGTATTTCAAGTCCAACCAGGGAAAATAACAAACACATATTCTTACGCCACTGGAAGCATAATTGAGGCCAGTGGTTGCCGGGCGAATGCATGTTTGCAGCCACCGTGCCCAGTAGTGCTCGATCTCCTTGTCCTCAGCGTTTTTGGCTCGCACTGACACATAGCGGGTGGTCAAAAGTTCCGGTAAACATGGGGTGACCATTCACCCAGGTTTCTACCCAACAGCAACACAGGATCCCAGGCCGTTCCAGGCGGTTGCAGGCGGTTCCCGGCTCGCTGGAGGGAGGGACAAGCTTATTCCTACCCCTGGCCGGCTACAAACCCGTGGGGAAGTAGGGAAACCACAAAAAAATGTTTTTCACCACGAAATGGGGCAAGATGCCAAAAAGGTCGATCAACCCCCACATGCCGGGTTGTCACAATTGGGGGTTCCTTTTAGGTATTCCCTGGCTTAAGTCATCCAAGGAAGTGCCTACATGAACACTGGCACACGCCACATTCACTCAAGCACCAGGATACCTTGCCCGGTGTGCAAAACAATTGCACTATAGACTATGGTCCAGTTCGCCAGCCACCGGCGCGCATGTGCATGACAAGAACTGTCCCAGCACCGAACCTGTGCCCCCAAGGGAAGATCAAGTCAAGTTGCAATGTTTTGCCTACTCGCCCATAGCGCCCTGCCTGTTGGAAAATCGGAAGGCCGTGCTTGTGAGTGCCCACTTGGTCTACTTTTACCCCGATTGAAGTTGGAACAGACTGCATCCTGACTGCCCAGTGTACCACGGTGTCCGTGTCAAAATCGAGGGAACCCAAACATGGTGGTTTCCCTTTTTGGCCACAAACCAAAGTGTGCACTGAAGATCCGTTGCTCTTGACATGTATTTGAGACCTCACCTGATGCTTGTTAAACCAAGTATAAAAGCTTGGTTGCTGTTGACCCCTCTGCATAAAGTTTCACTTTTTGTGCGTCCAATTCGGAAAGTCCGACCTGTCAAAAACGCAAAGCAAGTCACTTTTGCGCGTCAAATTCGGAACATCCGGCCTGTGCCAAGCAAAAGTTCAAGTCCAGAGATCCCTTGCCAAAGTCCAGAGATCCCTTGCCAAATAATGAGCCACAAAACAATGAAGAGTCTGATTTGGACATCGGTTGGGACAACCATATCATGTCACACCACACTTCGGGGCCCAGAGTTCCCTCTCCACTTCGGGAAATTTGGGCAGCGGTTTTGAGGCGCGGTTCCCTTAAAATAGGCAAAAGAAACACAAAAGGCACGCATTTCATCCTGGTTGCTGTTGACCCCTCTGCGAAAAGCTGAACTTGTTGCTGGTTGAATGGACACCCCTCGTGATTTCCCCAAAAAGTTAAAGTCTAAAAGTTCCAATCCAATAGCAATCAGGTTATTTGAGACAAACCCCTCCGTTGACCCCGGGATGAGGGTTTTGGGGGGCTCGCCGATTTTGAAGGGCAACAGGTGACTGGGACCAATGCGTTCCCCTGCTCCCATGTCAAGGGGGCATAAAACCCGTCTAAACCAGTGTAACCCATCTATTTCCACCCCGACTAACCGATCAAAAGCCCGTTTTTCTCCAAACTATCACAGGGCGGATTCCGATTTTGCCGGTGCTTCGCCGACTTTGCAAAAAGAAACCCAGCAAGGGCTCCAAGACCCAATTGCAAAACCTCTTTTCTACCCCAACTCACCCAAAGAGGACCACCCCTAACACCACGTCGCATCCACGTCCCATCCGCTTTCCGCCACCCCTAGGGCCACCCCTACGGCATCGCATCGCCGAGTCTCCGAGAAGCCCGCACGCTTTCGGTCCACCGCCACCTGGGCCTCCCGCACCCGGTCGCAGATGGTGACAAAGCCTCGCTCGCGAATGCCCGCGAGCCGCGGGCGAGCGGGCTGCATGTCTCGTCCGCGAACGGGATTGGGTGTGGGGGCAGGGAAGGTGTTGGAAGAACAAGAAAAGAAACCATCACCCCTGTGGTGTGTTTTCCTTTGAGAGGATTTGCAGGTTATCCTTAATCCTGTCTCCGTGTGGCTTGAGTGTACCCGTTTTCAGGGTTGTGTTCAGGGTTGTTTTCAAGCTAACCAGTAGACATCTTCCCCCCTAGCTCTCCCAAAGCCGAAGAACCAACGGCCACAAATCCATGCTCGATTCCTCGGCTGTCATTTTGTTTGCTTGAGCCAGGGAGGTCCCTGAAAAATCGACCTTGAGCTGTCTGGTTCTTTCCCGAAAGGCCTCAAAGAGGCGAAGTGTAGGTTTGTACCTGGGGAAAGGGGGGGCAAGGCACAAAAGTGCGCGTGGTGACCTTTCCCTGGATTCTCCATTCGAAACATCCAGATTAAATATGGGCATCCTGCACAGCTCAATAAGCTCATCGCTCCACCGTTTTGAACCTTCACATGATACGCAGAAGATGGATGAGGCCAAGCTTGCATCTCCTATGCAAGTGATGTCGTCTTCAAATACACTCACCGCATTCAAAGCATGTTGCTTTATTCAATTTGATCATGCTCAATCAGGGAATCAGGGGTCCCTGGATTTCGGTTTCAGACGCTGCCACTTTTGGAGGTCCAAAAAAGTGAAATAAAGGGCCCCCTGTCAATACCAAATGTATTCCCCATGAGCATTTACCTGGACCCTATGAATTCTGACTCCGGATAGACGCCTGGTGAGAACAACATAGCTGGACCACTGGATGGCCCAAAATTTGCAAAGCAGGAACGTAAGCACGACCCCTCAACTCTGGCGACAAACATGCATGTACTTGAGCCATGGCCCAGCCATGAAACCAACATGCGGAAGGTGTAAAGCGGAAGCAGGTACGCGCTTTTGCAACTTGGTCATGCCATGTCAGCAAGCGCTTTCACCCTTCTTGAGCAATAAGCATTCACAAAGATATCATAGAGCAACCTTCGTTTCATAGACTGAAACTATTCATACCCTCCAACCGGCTAACATGGAAGTGCACAGACCCCTGTAGAAAGACCACTTTCCTGTTTCAAAGGGGCTTGTTCCACTTCCATGTTGGTTGGTGGGAAAGTATTTGTTCAACTCGCCACAACCCCCCCCCCTCCCCAAACAGGAATGAGGCGAGTCCGCAAAGACCTGCCTCCGCTCTCGCTCTCTGCCTCTCTAATGGCTTCTCTTCTTGCTTCTCTCTGATCGTTGAAAGCTTCTCTCTGTGTGCTTCCGCGCAGAAGTCCTGCGTCTGGACATCGGCATGTCTGTGTCTTAGTGCGTCTGAGTGTGTATGCGAGCCTCAACTTAAGTGCGTGTGTGCGTGTGTGCGTGTGTGCGTGTGTGCGTGTGTGCGTGTGTGCGTGTGTGCGTGTGTTGTGCATGTGTGCGTGTGTGCGTGTGTGCGTGTGTGCGTGTGCGTGTGCGCGTGTGCGCGTGTGCGCGTGGGCGTGGGCGTGGGCGTGGGCGTGGGCGTGTGCGTGTGCGTGTGCGTGTGCGTGTGCGTGTGCGTGTGCGTGTGCGTGTGCGTGTGCGTGTGCGTGTGGGTGTTGTGGGTGTTGTGGGTGTGTGTGTGTGTGTCTATGGCCTCTTCCTGTCTACCTGTTGTTTTTGTCTGTGTCCGCTTGGCTTTGCTGTCTCTTCACATGACTTCAATGCTTTCGGCTTTCGCATGGGCATGTCGCTTTTTGAGGGTACCCCCTTGCAGCTGCGGAAAGCTAAGAGGAAATCAACGGGAGAAAGCCCAAAGCCGCAGGACTGCCACCGGGGCCCCAGCCATCAAAGTCTTGTGGCACGGTGGGCATGTAGGGCTCCACGTCTATCCTCCGATCCTGCCCAACGCTTCCCAAAGGAATACCCTGAGCCCATGGCTAGGTCCAGATTTGAGAGGTTAGAATACGGGTACCGTTTCTTTTGCCTGTAGTCCATTTTAGTAGGGGAACCTTCCCAACCAAAAAAGGGTAAAAGGGCACATAGCTGGGGGACCTAGATGGACTTCTGGCTGCCCTTTTTCCTCAAGCCCATGGATTTTTCGTGCATGTGACCAAAACAACCGGAAAAGACTTCCCCACAAAAGGAATTCCTGTCCTAAAATCTACTTTGGAGTGCATGCCTTTGTTTTAAAGACCTGCCACGGAAAATTCACATAAGCCAAAAAAGGGGCTTATACCACACAAAGGCAAAGTTATGAGGATGGCCTTTCTACCCATGGGAATCTGCAAGTTCGGGAGCCCCTAGCCTTTGAGCAGCCCTTTCAGCATAGGCGGGTCCTTCCAGAGGGGCCTTGCCCACAATTCAGGTGCACGATGAGACAACCGGTGTTGATCAAAATCACTATGGGCTTGTGGATTTGTCAAGGTCCGGGCTCCCAAAAAAGTTGTTTCCTTTTGGTCTCCGTTTAAACCAATCCGACAACGTACACACACACACACACACGCACGCACGCGCGCACGCACGCACGCACGTCACGCACGTCACGCGCACACACAAAACAAACAAACAAACAAACAAACAAACAAACAAACAAACAAACAAACAAACAAAACAAACAAACACACAAACAAACAAACAAACAAACAAACAAACAAACAAACAAACAAACAAACAAACAAACAAACACACACACACACACACACACACACACAACACACACACACAACACACACACAACACAACACAACACAACACAACACAACACAACACAACACAACACACCACAACACAACACAACACAACACAACACAACACAACACAACACAACACAACACAACACAACACACACACAACACACGCACAAAACACACACACAACACACACTCACAGAAAGACACAAAGACACAAAGCCACAAAGACACAAAGACACAAAGACACAAAGACCCACGCCCTGGCACAAGTATCATCCATAAGACGTCGCTGCACGAAAGTAGTACGTGAAGTCCACTTTCGCAATGGGGCTCGAAAATCGCAACTTTTAAGTATGAAAGTAGTACGCGAAGTGCACTTTCCGAAAATCGCAACTTTTAAGTACGAAAGTAGCACGCGAAGTCCACTTTCTCAGCTGGGGCTCGAAAATCGCAACTTTTAAGTACGAAAGTAGTACGCGAAGTGCACTTTCGCAGCCGGGGCTCGAAAATCGCAACTTTTAAGTACGATTATTGCACGCGAAGTCCACTTTCGCAGCTGGGGCTCGAAAATCGCAACTTTTAAGTACGAAAGTAGTACGTGAAGTCCACATCCGCAGCCGGGGCTCGAAAATCGCAACTTTTAAGTTTGCAAGTTGCCGGCAACAGGCGATGCAAGCATGGCAAGTTCCAACATACATTCCCAAGATCCATCTTCTTCATAACGTCAATCCAAGCTAGTTTGCACCGCAGAATCACACTGTTCAAACACTGTTTGGTATGCATATTAATTTGTCATATGCATACCAAACAGTGCTTGAACAGTGTGATTCTGCGGGTGCGAACTAGCTTGGATTGACGCCACCCCTGTTGCAAAGCAATCTGAGATTGCCAGACTCTTTGCATGGCACTTGGCTCACCAGTGCTCGTGGCTGATCAGGTATCTCACATCGCGGCATGTGGGTCCATTTACAACATCCGAACTGTCTCAACCCAAAAGTTAAAGTCCAAAGGTCCATTACCAAATGCAATAAAGATAAATAAAAAAAACAACATTGCCCTTGGTTCTACTAATGGAGGCTTATATGAGACCCCACTCTGATTCTTAAATCAGTTGCTAATATTCTCACATCCAACTTTGTACTTGCCGTCAACATGGTCTTCACAAAAAGTGACTAAAGTCCAAAAACTCAGGAAGTCAGTATTGCCCTCTGGACATTGCTTGGAAAAAAGATCCAGTACCAAATAGCCATGAAGCCAAAAGCGCTCTTTTCAACAGTCGTTTGTTGATGAAGCCCTGGATGACAGGGCTATCCAAGCACTGGCAACTTCCACCATGGAACCCTTGCGCAAAAAAAGCGCTGGCATGGCGCGCCGCCGGCCCGGGCCGCCGCAACGCCCCTCGAGCCTCGCGGGCGAACTCGAGCTTGTTGATGGCCAACAGCAGGCGCTCAGGACCCAAACGATCAGTGCCTGAGCTCCAAGCTCCAGGCTGGGACCGGCCGGGTTTTCGGCCACTTTCGCTGTCTTTTGGCTCGGTCTGTGGTCTCTGCTTTTGAGATTTGGGAGCGCCCAAATGGTCAAATGCTGGTGTTTGTTCCTTTCGGTTTCCTGCAAAATCCTACCAAACACCGGGGCTTTCCAACCAAAAAGGCACCCCCTTTCTGGCTGGGAAATTTGGACATCAAAGGAAGCTACCTGAAAAACGGCTCGCTCTAACGGATGAGACCACATTTCCCAGGGCCCCGGAAACCGGAGACATCCACCAACTACATAGCCACCTTCCCTGACTGGGGGGTTGACCAAGATTTGTTTCTGGCCCAATGATCATGGAAAACTGTGCAGGCCCATATGGTTGCATGTTTACCGGACCTCTTCAGCCTCAGTCTTGCTTTGGCTCGCCTTTTCAAAAACAAGTCTGCCCTCGAAAAGACACACCCATTATGAAAAAACTCGCGCAACCAACCAACCCGGATGCAAGTCCCAACCGTTCGCCACTGGAGGGGCTGGCTGGAATTGCGTTGCCACACCCTGAGTTGCCCAAACCACCACCTTGTAACCCACTACCGATGGGAACGGAACATGGGAAAGCCGCAGGTTCTTCCCCGTCGCAGCTGGCTTTGGGCAAGTGAGCAGCCCAAAGGACTGGCCAACGTGCACATTCAGACCCAAAACGAGTTGGCCTTCGGCGCTGGCAACGGCAAACACCCGGCGTCCAATAAAAGACCCTGCAATTCGCACACCGCCCTAGTCTCAAAATGTCTCACAAAATTGCCGGAGTGGGAGGTCCACGGGCAAAAAGCAGTGCTCCGAAAGGCAAACACCGTGCAAAGCATTGCGTCATGCTTGGAACCCTGCAGATGGCCGTGGAACTGCAATCTTGTCTAGTTGAAAAGTGAACGGGAGCACAGCATGACCCAGGAGCAAACTACCTTAAGCCCACGTTTCCGCGCTGCTTCTGATTTCCCTTCGCCAACGGAAAGCCACCGGTGACGCAAATACAGTCTTTGCGAGCAAATGGTTTCTTAGCCTGACCTTGTCCAAAAAAAGCTGGCGACGAAACTCGGTTGCTTTCTGCTCCCCTGCTAAAAGTGAATAACTTTTAGTGGTTTAATGGGAAAACCCATTAGTTGGCAAAAAGTTAAAGTCATAACATCCCATGGCAAAAAAAAGCACCTCTGGACATACGCTGGCCTGGAGCTCGCAGTTTGCCAAGTTGCTGGAGTCTTTCAATGCATCGTAGGCCTGGAAAATAGCGGTGGCAGGCATGCAGAACGAATGTGAAACGACGGACAGCTAGGAACTGTTTCGCCCCTGGCAAAGCAAATCGGAAGTGGTTTCTGCCCAGGATCCGCCATTGATCCATGTTTCGTGCAGCTTCCCATGGTTGCTGGTTTTCTGGGGGACTTGAATCGGTCCAACTTCGGCCAACCCTCGAGCAATCTAGAAAAGCCCTTCAGACCTCCCAAGGCATGGAGCGTCGGAAAGCAAATCACGGCTCCGATTTGAGGTCATCATTGTAGGAGAGGTGTGTCCGGAAGTTGTCGTAATTCTTCACATTCATAATTAAAATATGACTCTTCCTTCCAAAGCCTGCAAAATCAGGAATTGTCAAGTAACTCAGTTGTTCAGTGACCCTGGAAAAAAAAGGAACCCTTTTGGGGCTTGGAGCATTTTTAGTGGGGCAGCCACCTAAAAAATGGTTGGAAAAAGAATTGGTGCCACTGAACAACTGAGGTAAGGAGCCTACTTTACCTCCCGGGTTTTCGCCTTCTCTTCTTTTACCACCCACGCCAACTCCACCCACCGCATGCGAGGCGTCCCTGCGACGTGCGAGGCGTGCCTCCCTCACAGACTCCAGCAGCTCCTCTCGGTGGAGTCGCCTGCGAAAAGCGACTGCCAGCTGACAGGGGTCCTTCCCAAACCCGCAAAACAGCCGGCCTCATGTAAAACGGAAGAAACATCGAAGATCCCAGAAGACAACCTCTCACGATAGAAAAATGGCAAGGCGAAGCAAAAGGACCCACCAAACGACCAGTCAAGAAGGGCTTCCAGTTTTGAAACCGTCCGCACACAAGTCGGTGCTACTGTGAAGCTTTGGCTCTCGGAATGCCAAAGTTAAGGAATCCACCCCCAATTTCAGTAATTGTGGGCCTTCAATGATTCAAGTGACTCCAGAAAGCAATCTGGTTGTCAAATCAAGGCCTATCTCCGATGGATCCTGCACCTCTTGCCCACTATGTATATTTGTCTATCCCAAGTGGTGCGACATGGACTTCGTCCGCCCACCATCGGACACTATCTCTTTCCGACAACAAATGGAACCCGGTTGCAAACTGGGGGGGGTTAGCTTGCTGGTTCTCAACAGGAATGAGTTGGAATGATCCCCGCCAGCCCCTTTGGTTTCCTTCATTCGGAAAACCCAAAAACGGGTCATTCCCTACCTGCGGCACCAGCAAGGTAATCTTCCATTTGCTTCTTCGTCCGGAAAATGAGCAAATATGTCCAGTGTAAATATATTCCCTTAAAAACCAACAGGGAAAACACACAAAACATAATCTTTTCAGCAACACAAATACTCGTTTCAGACCGCGTAATGTTGACCCCAGGTTAATCAGCTAATTGAATAGGTCTCAGTAGGTTTAGCGGGGAATCAGACCCGTTTTGGAGTGGAAGACCCCCGTTTATATATATATATATATATATAAAAACAGGGGCTTATTGATATGAAGTCAACATTATTCCAGACTTCCTGATTTTGCCGTAATTTTGATGCGCCCAGAGGGAACCCCGGATTACTAAGCCAATCCTATTGCTAGGGGAACACCCCCATTAGAGCGTTGGCCGGCAGACACACACACACAAGTTGTTGCTATGCTTTTACTGGGCCACACACAAGTTTATTTTTTGGGGGCCACCCCCAAACTCCCTAAAGGTCGCGCACTCGGTGCTCAAAGACCCGGATCCGTTCGTTCGTTGGCCGGGGCGCATGAAGCGCACGAACTCCGCGAGGTCCAATGCGCCGCTGCCGTTGAAGTCCACCCGCGCATGCAAGCGACGCACCTGATGGGCGAGGTCGGGTGGCCCCTTGAGGGATACGAGCCTACGTCACATCGCGGACAAAGAAACAACCACAGGGAGAGGGAGAGACAAAGAAGGGGAGAGAGAGAGAGAGAGAAAGAAAGAAAGGCAAAAAAGCCAGCAAGAAAAGAGAGAAAGAAAGGACAACAAAGGAAGAAAGAAGAAACAAACGACAGAAAGAAAGAAGGGGCAGGAAGAAAGGAAGGAAGAAAGCCATAGACATATCAATATAGACAAACAACAACAAAGGAAGAAGGAACAAATGCATGATCCAAACTATAGTGTTTTTTGAAATGTCCGCCCTCCTTCACCGGCTCTACTACCGGTAAGGCTTGCAATTAAGAACGATCGTAATGAAGATTCCCCCATTTGGCTGTGGGTCAAAACCAATGGGATGGCAATTTTGGGATAGGTGCACCAACCATTTTAGAATCGATTTAAGTGGGGATCAGGATGTTCACTCGGGGTACGAGGTGTTGACCCATGGCCATTTCATTCCTAGCTCGCACACTTCTCGAAACGCGAGAAAAGCGCAAGAGATTTGCAAACCTCAGCCTCATGCGAAGCGACAGCCACCGAACAGCAAGTGTCATGCGGTAATTGACGGTGGGGGCATGCGTACTGGAATGCACTTGTTTCCTGAGACTGCGATGGTAAACCCCCCCCTCCCCCCCCTCCCGAAAGCAGACTCAGGCTTGGTGATAGATGGTCTGGAAAAAACTACACTATCTGCAATGTTTCTCAGTTGTTCAATGACCCCGGGAAAAAAAAGGGAACCCTTTTTGGAAGGCCATTTTTAGTGGGGCAGCCACCCCCCCCCCCCAAAAAAAAAGAAGGAAAAAGGGTGCCACTGAACAACAGGTTTACAATCTGTCCAAAAGCTGAACCAAGGGATCCAAGTAATCTCTTCCCCCTATTAATGAATGACCCCAATTAATAAAAACTGGAAATCCGGGGCCCGGGACCATATTTCCACTCCGCACAATTGATTTTTCATTGCGCCAATTCTAATCCAATACTAAAGTCTTGGAATCCTTATTAGGGGGCACTTTTAACAAGCTTCCAGCCCCAATCCTAATTGGGTCCTTTATTGGGGTGGTGTCCCTGAAAAGAAAACATGTCCCCAAAAGCTGTCTAGCTGCGACTGTCTCTCTCCCGTACATGCTGGCTAATTAATTAACCTGCCTGGCTGCAAACAAACAACCAGTAAACTGAAAAACAAATAGAATGATACATAACGTTTCCCCATTAAACCGCTTACTCGCGGACCTTACAATTCAATCCATTTCCTCCAAATCCTGTGTGAACCCTCACATTGTTGGAAAAGCAAAAAAAACAATTCCGAAAACCCATTTTTTTAACATATATTTTTTGGGGATGATTTTTTACTAATTGCGGGGGGGACCCGTATTTATTAATAGGGGGAAGAGATTACATGACCTTTACCATGGTGAGCTCGTTTTAAAATTTTACGGCCCAGGTGAGCTCGCCATAGGCCGAACTATCCATCCCATATTTTCATTTGAACAAACTTGAAAGTAGCTAGCGTCCAGTGTCTATGCATTGAATCGGACGTAGGCGAACCTTTTGCAGCAACTCAAGCCAACCATAGCCCAAACCAGCCAGTCATCTGACCGATTCAATTACCAGACAAAATGAGTGAAGAGTAACTTATAGCCTGACAGAAATGAGCATCGGGAACTGTTTGCAGAGTACCTTTGGTTTGCGGGCATCCACAAAAACCTTCCTGCCCCCCAACTGCACCCAGTAAATGCTTCCAATTCTTACAGGTTCTTGCAAGGTTCGCCCCCCGCCACAAAACAGCAAATGTCTTAGGGGTTCTGGTGAAAACCCCTACATCGGCCCGGCTTTGGTCGCGCTTGACTCCCCAACACTTCGCCTCGTCGATGGAGGCCGCGTGGCCCTGGAACCGCAACATCTCCGCGAGCTCGCAGACGTCGATGTCGCCGCTGGTGTCCTCATCGAACTTCTTGAAGGTGGCCTGGCCACTCTGCGTCTTGTGGCTAGGTCCTCCAGATTTGAGAGGGTAGAATAAGGCTAGTTGTTTTTCGTTTTTTTCCCCTGTAGTCTATTTTAGTAAGGGAACCCTCCCCCCAAAAAAGAAACGGTAAAAGGGCACTACTGGAGGACCTAGTGTACGTCTTGTGGTTACCCAGGACAAATCTCGTACCACTTTTGGTTGGGTACCCCCAAAAAGCTATACCCCCAAAAAGCTATACCCCCAAAAAGCTATACCCCCAAAAAGCTATACCCCCAAATGCCCACTGACCAGAACGGCGACGAAAACGGCCGCGTCCTTTTGGATTTGAAGACATGGCCAGCTACTTGCGATCGTTGCAAGAGATGCAGGGAATGAGAAATGATCCTATAAGACTACAAACCATTCCCTGCGGTTTCCTTCAAGGGAATTTCCACAGGTTCACCCTCATTTCTTCATTCTTGGTTACCCCCCCCAAAAAGCGAAACCCCCAAATGCTCACTGACCAAAACGCGCCCTAAATGGCCAAATGGGCATGTCCTGTTGTTGAGGGAACCCACCCGTTTTGATCCGTTTTGGCTGGTTTTCAAGGGAGACCATAAGCACATGTCTTCCATTTTTGGTTGGGTACCCCCAGCAAACAGACACGCCACAAATGCCCCTGACCGAAGGCCCGTATGAACCGGCCTTGATAAGGATCTTCAAAAAGAGATCTCCCAATAACGGGGTTGCTTCAAAGCCCAATCTCAAAATGGGGAATTGACCAAATGGCTTCACTGTTCCTTTTGGTTTCCGGTGAAAGCAGGGTAAAAAAATTAGGGTACCCGATACGAGCCTACAAGCACGAACGTACACAAACGCAACCACACCAACAACACAAACACACCAAGCAACCAACCCACCCGCGCAAGAAGCCCAGCCTTGATTTCTTGCATTTCTTGCTGCGAGAAGCCATCCGACTGCTGAAGCATCATCCTGACAGTGCCCATGAATAAACTTGATCTGTATGTACCTACCTGGTACACCTGGGCAAACCAATGGATATTACAACAGCTGGACCCCCAAAATGTCCCTGCATTCCTTTCGGTCTCCCTCACAAACATGTGCGTGTGTGTGTGTCAAAGTAGGCTCACCCCCGTAAATTGTTCATTGTTTGTGGTTTCCCTTTCAAACCAACCTGTAGAAGGTACCGAGCCACAAACCATTTGCGCTAACCGTAAGGCGCATGAAATATATTTGCTGGCAAGCGGCATGAAGTGCACAAAGGAGTCGTAATCCATCGAGTCTGAGTCCAGCCTATGCAAGAGGCCGAGGGGAAGCGAACAAAGAATCCGACATTCACGAACTCCAAGATAAACTCACTTGCCCAAAGCTTTCGGGGCCAGGACTAAAACTGAACCAAAATTGGAAAACCAAAGCGTTGAAAGGTCGGCTTTGGGCACCTGAGTAAATAGGGTGCAAAGTGAATCTGGTTGAGCCTGATCGGATACTTTTGGAAAACGTTGATCACATGCGAGCCGTCACAAGCTCTGAAAGGCTTAAATGTTGGTACCCTGTCTAACTACGGAAGCGCAGATG